CGGCATCAAGCGTCATACAACGTTCAAATATCTACACACGTCACTCACGAAGGTACTATGAATCCATTCTCAACTACCAACCACAAAGCCAATACTAGAGACACGCACATTCTCCATCCATAGCAATAAACTAGCAATGCTCAACAGTTAAAAGAGCAGATCCTCTATCACGACATCAAACAAAGCCGCAGTTCACAATAAAGAGAACACAGCGAACAAGTAACACATACATAGCATCAACACATCGATAGACACCGACACTCCACGATATACCACGCGAAGAGACTACGCCCCAAGACAGTACGACCAAACTACAAAAAACTCGAAAGAAACACACACCGCCACACTCACTATACAACTGCACGATACACTGCCAACCAGGCCCATACCAAAAAAAAAACCCAACAATCATCACAACAATCAACCAATACCATATAAGAATACAGAGGTAGAACCGAGGCAAAAAGCAGCCAATCACGAATCACCCCGAACAAATAATTACAGCCATAACAGATAGCCTTTCCAAACAACAACCGTACCTGTACCTCCCCTCCCTACTTCCCTCCTACTCCCCTTCTCATCCATCATACACACTGGTAATGTAATAGCCAATATTTTAAATTACTATATTGTCGGTTCACCATTAACTAACTATAATAACAATTTAATAATAATGGCTTAATTGGCTAGTACATTACAATCATCTCCTTTCTACATGTGTGTGGCACACACACGCATGCATATTGATTTATCTTAAATCAGGATAGAATTAATTCGAATTAAATTTCAATTAACGTTTATATATATATGTATATATATATATATTCTATCATCTTTTATGTCTTTGACGCATCGACCCTCTTGTATTGGTAGTCATTTCTAATAATATCACTTAATTCGAAAAATTCGTCAATTCAATAATAGAGTTTATAAACTTTAACTTGAATTAAAGGATACAGCTTTTTTTTCACTACTTCTCTCTTCTAAGTTCACAATAGAAATTGTAAGAAACTAATCATAGAAAAATTACTGTGATCTGCTAATTAAATCAATCATCAAAAATTTTTAGGTACTCATCTTATTTGTGCAAACTACCTTCAATTCGTTCTAATAGAAATCCTTTTATTATAGTTCTAAGAAAAATGTCAAGTGTACCAGATATCAAAACTTTACCAAAATTATCCAACCCACTAGAAGATGCTAAGAGATTAGCTGCTTACCGTGCAGTTGATGAAAATGTAGATTTCCAAAATGAAAGGGTTATTGGTATTGGTAGTGGTAGTACAGTTGTCTATGTAGCTGAAAGATTAGGCCAATACCTAAAAGATCCAAAATATACCAAATATGTATCTCAATTCGTTTGCATCCCAACTGGTTTCCAATCAAGAGCTTTGATTCTAGATAATGGTTTACAATTAGATAGTATAGATCATCACCCTATTATTGATATTGCTTTTGATGGTGCTGATGAAGTTGATGTCAACTTACAATTGATTAAAGGTGGGGGTGCTTGTTTGTTCCAAGAAAAATTGGTAAGTACAAGTGCAAAAAGATTTATAGTTGTAGCAGACCATAGAAAACAATCTCCACAATATTTAGGTAAGAATTGGAGACAAGGTGTCCCAATTGAAGTAGTACCTTCTGCATATGTACGTGTCCAACATGATTTGTTAAATAAGCTACACGCCCAAACTGCTGTTGTTAGACAAGGTGGTAGTGCAAAGGCAGGTCCAGTTGTCACAGATAACAACAATTTCATTATAGATGCTGACTTTGGTGAAATAAAAGATCCAAAGTCATTATATGTAAGCATTGAAATGCTGATTGGTGTAGTAGAAGTGGGTTTATTCATTGATAACGCCGAAAAGGTTTATTTCGGTAATGCTGATGGTTCTGTTAATGTGTTGGATAAGAAAAATTAATAGGATTAATTTACTTTTATTATCTTTATTACAGAAACTGTATATTATCAAATATCAGTACTGAGCTTTATTTCATAAAATTTTAATTAATTAAATATAAATTACTTAATACGCAACTCCCTTTTTCATATTCTCTAATTTCGCATGAAGTGGAAGTGACACTTAATCAAAAAAAACACAGCAAACTTGATAAATTTTATATCCTCTTTTACATACATTAATTAGTTTAGTTTTAGAATTTTTAATTATATAGCGATGTCACATTTGATTTGGTTTTGCCAATATATATATTATTTCATATACATATATATCCCAAAAAAACAGTGTCTCTCATGAGTAGATAGATATATCGTCCTTAATTATATTATTAAAAATTAAATATTATATTATTATATTATATTATTTTGTATTGTATTATTAAATTATTTCCAAAATTTAGTAGTCACGATGCTCTAAATATATAAATGCATTTTTCACACTTTGATGTTATATTATTATTTTTGATTACTTTTAGTGCAATTCATTTTGTTAAATCCATCAATTATTATTTTATTTTTTGGCAGTATTATTAGAAATCCAAGACAAACCTTCCACTAAACCTTGTCCTGTCAATGCATTACTACCTACAACACACCATAATTGATTTTTTAAATTATTGCCTAATTGTAAGAAATCTGAAACTTCTTGTGGTTTCAATGCACCCTTTAAATCTTGTTTATTAGCCCAGACTAATAGTACAACATTTTCCATTTCCTTTTCACTTATAATACTGTACAGTTCTTCTTTTGCTTCATTTAATCTATCTTTGTCATGTGAATCTATTACAAAAATCAATGCTGTCGTTGCAGGGAAATAATGTCTCCATAATGGTCTTAATCTTTCTTGTCCACCTACATCCCACATATTAAACTTAACATTTTTATATGACACAGTTTCAACGTTAAAACCTACAGTTGGTGCAGAAGTTTTAATTTTATTTAATTTTAACTTATATAAAATTGTAGTTTTACCTGCATTATCCAGTCCTAACATTAAAATTTTCATTTCACGAGAACCAAATAGTTTCCCCAATGCCTTTGATACTGAATTACCCATTTTTTAATTATAATTTGTAATGTGTATATGTATGTCTTAATCCACTGACTGCTATTATTATCACCACAACTTCTTTTTTTGAGATATATATATATATATATATATAGATTTCTGTAAAATTTGTACGTATGCAAATGTTAATTAATCTTAATAATAAACTAAGATTCTATAATCACACTCTTTATGATGAAGAACCAATGCAAAAAAATCCTAAAATAATTACAATATATAAATTTTATTATCTCTATAGCTATTGCAAAATGTTAGTCTTAAAAGCAATACTTGTTTGAAACCAATAAAAACCCAATTGATGTTTATTACTCCTTATACAAAGATATATCTAATAATATGAATCCGAAATTACAACAAGCAAAGGTCAAAACCAACTCTACCATATATACAATTATAATAATGTTTAAAATTTAATAACCCTCTTTCCTTATAATGGTTATTGTTTCCTAACTGTTTTGGTCTCATTTGATGATTTTTTGTCCCTTCGGGGTATAGAGGAATTTTACTTCATATGTAATATTATTATTATTATTTTTTTTTTTGTAGTAGTATTCGAAATTCAGTAAAAATATAATAAATCGATAAATCAGTTGGTTTTCCTTCCTTCCTTCTTTGCTCTTTTGAGTTAACGACGAAAACAAAACAAAACAAAAAGATTCGAAACGGGAAATTCGTATTTAATTTATTTTGAAAAAGTGTTTTATCGACCATACTCCGTTCTAAATGAGAGATATATATATCACGTGAAAATAACATGACTTTTCGTTTTTCGTTTTTATTGTCTTTTATTTTTTTTAGTGAAATGCTTTTGTGTCACAAAATTAAAAATAAAACTACAATACTCAATCCAAACATATAAAAAGGGAGAGGAAAAGGGAAATCATTTTCCTTTCTTTCCTTATTTCTTGGCTTGGAACAAATACATTTTTTTTACTGTTTTTAACTGACTCAAATGTGGAAAAATCTATAATTGAAGTCAAAACTGCGTCATAGATTGTACAAACGATTTCTCGAATATTAACTTCAATCTCCCTACCTTATACTATTTAATATCCCAATATATATATATCTATATTGTTAAATTGGATTGCTCACCAGATATGTACCCATGTATAATATATACAATAATATGTCTCTCTCAAAGATGATTATTTATGAAATGTCTAAAACACGTGCACATCACGTTGGTTAGATATGCTTTTCTCCTTTTTCTTTTTAAAATGAATAACGACAAAAATATTGAGAAAAAAGTCCCAACTCCCGAAACACTCAATCACTCTCTCTCGTACTAATTAGGATATTTTTCTTGGTTTTATTTCATTGCTAAATTTGGATAAATATTATTGTTAAAAATCAAAATCACCGATGATCTATCTAATTTCCAGTTACAAAATATTTTTTAATTTTAAAGGTTTTCAATAGTCGGGTATAATAAGAATGTTTTATATTATTTAATAAAAACCAAAATATCCGATTTCACCATTAGATTAAGGTACTATTGTTGAATTTAAATTGTTATATAGATACTTAAACAATTATTAATTAATCACGGGGTACAATCTAGAAATTATGGACTTTTCTATTCCCCCAGAATTACCAATAGCGCTACAGAACCAACTATCCAATTTAATAGAGGATTATAAAGTTGAAAATTTAACAAGAAAAGGCTATGAAACAAAAAGAAATGAATTATTAGATAAGTATACCAGAAATCAACAAGCTTTACTATACGCATCAAGAAACTCAACTGTGTCGGTTTCAACTAATACCAGAGAGCATAATTTATCAACCAGGATAATTCTACCTTCTAATAAAAGGTTTATAGATGATAATGCATCCTATAAATCTCAAGATACGTTTCTCCCTTATCCACCAACTGATATTTATAAACAGGATCTAAGCACATACAATAATAACACCAATACTACTACTAATAATAAGATTGGAATCACCAAACATGAACGAAGATCAAATTCAATATACAGAGTTGCTACGTCAAACTCGTCATCCGTATTATCTACACCAAGGCATAAAAAAAGTTCCTCATTACAGTTATCGTTACACTCAAATGATGCATTTGTGAAAGCATATAACCCAATGATCCCACTACTTCCAAGAATACCCGAGGAAAGTTCTCATGATTCTTTGCCTTCAATATTAAGAGCAAGGTATGAAAACTACGAAAAACAAACATCTATAATTTCAATAGATAATAAAGGTAAAGAAAATTCAATCTCTTGGGCGAAACTATATCTTAGAGCAGAAAAAATTGCACATGAATTGAACAAAAGTCGTTTATATAAAAAAGACAAAGTATTATTATGGTATAATAGAGACGAAGTTATCGAGTTTGCAATTGCACTACTTGGATGTTTTATAGCTGGTATTATCGCAGTGCCAGTATCGTTTGAAACTTATAAGTTGGGCGAAATTATACAAATAATCAAGTTAACGAATTCATCATACGTCTTAATATCAAACGAATGCCATAAACAACTGGATAACTTACAAACAACTTCAAATAACACCAAAATAAAATTGATAAAGGATGAATTTTTTTCCCAGCTTACTTTTTTAAAGACTTCAGAATTAGGGACATATTCAAAGGCTAAGAAAAATGCCCCTACATTTGATATTCCTGACATTTCTTATATTGAATTTACTAGAACTCCCTTAGGAAGATTGTCTGGTGTTGTAATGAAACATAGAGCTTTAATCAATCAGTTGAAAATGCTTGTAAAAATAATGGATTCACGCTCAATGCCACATTGGAAAAAAAACTCAATTCTTATCCCTTATGACAAGGCGGCCTCTGTAAATAGATACACAATATTGAACAGTTTAGATCCAACCAGATCAACAGGTTTGGTATTAGGTTTATTATTCGGTATATATTCGGGGAATCTATTAATTTCAATAAGCGACACAATTTTGAAAACACCAGGTAATTATGAAGACATAATCAACCAACATAAGGCTGATGTGTTATTAAACGATCAACTTCAGTTAAAACAGGTTGTTATAAATTATCTAGAAAATCCAAAAGCAACAATTTCAAAAAAAAATAAAATCGATTTTAGTTGTATTAAATGTTGCTTGACATCCTGCATTAATATTGATACAGATGTTTCCGATATGATTGTTAATAAGTGGTTAAAGAATCTTGGATGTGTTGATGCTGCAATGTCATACTCTCCGATACTGACCCTACCCGATATTGGAGGTACCTTCATTTCAGTTAGGGATCACTTAGGTAAGATTGATAATTTTCCAATTCATAATACAAAGCTAAGATTACAAGATGAATTATATATAAATAAGGAAAAACTAAGAGGGAATGTTATAGAACCAAGCATTACTGCTATGATAAACTCATCAAATTCATTTACTGATTATATGCGTTTGACTACCTTTGGTTTCCCAATCCCTGATTCTACTATATGTGTGGTTAATTTAGATGACTGTACTTTAGTTCCTGACCTAACTGTAGGTGAAATTTGGATATCCTCAAAAAGTTTATGCGATGAATTTTATCAGATGGACCGTGTGAACGAATTTATATTTCATGCTAAACTTGACTATCCACGAATGCTGTCATACACAAAGGGAACATCAATCACAGCTGTTCAAGCTAATGAAAAAATTAACATGATAATGAATTTATGCCCACCATCAACGAACTTCTTAAGAACTAAACTGATGGGCTTCGTATTCAATGGTAAAATATATGTTTTATCAATGATAGAAGATATGTTTTTACAAAATAAGTTGCTAAGATTGCCAAATTGGGCACATACTTCAGATATGTCAAAAGAAAAGGAAAGCAATACGGCAATAAAAGCCTTAGGATCTGACACTACAATTTCTGATTCTAATAATGACAGTGAAAACTCAGGACCGAAGAGAATTGTCCAAACTTATTATTTACAACAGGTGACGGAAACTATTGTAAGGACAGTTCCAAGTGTTTCAGATGTTTCTGCATTTGAGTTAAATCATAATAACGATGAACATTTTCTAGTATTAATAGTTGAAAGTTCCTTAGCAAAAAATACCATTGCTGGTGGCGAACCAGCCTTAGTGATGACTAGTAGACAGAATGAAAAATTAGAAAAACAGTTAAATGACTTAACTGAACAAATTTTTAGAATATTATGGATCTTTCACAAAATTCAACCTATGTGTGTAATGGTTGTAGCAAATGGATCACTTCCAAAAAGATATTGTTCACTTGAATTGGCAAATAGCACCATTGAAAGAAGATTTCTGAACTGTGAATTAGATGCTAAATTTGTTAAATTTCAATTTGATAACATTATATTAGACTTCATACCTCACTCATTATATTACAACGAAAGTATATTCTCTGAGCACTTATCAACTCTGAGACGAGCTGCCTTAGCCGACGCATTCCCTTATAACATGTCGCCTAGGATAGCAAACCGAGAACAGAGATCTGGTTTTGAATTTCAGGAAACATCATATGACCTAGATTCTAACAAGAACTTAACAGATTTTGCTACCATCCTAGAAATACTGGAATGGAGAATAAATACACAAGGAAGCAACTCGGCATTCAGTGATGGGACTGGGAGATCATCACAAAATTCCAATGATAATAATATAAGGAAAAGTGTGTCCTGGAAAAAGTTTGGTGCAATTGTTGCATCATTCTTGAAAAAAATTATTCAATCCAAAACACCTCTAGAAAAAGGTGATAAAGTAATTATAATGTGTGAAAATTCAACAGAATATGCAGCTATAGTTATCGCATGTCTATATTGTAATTTGAATGTTATACCCCTAGAAGTCATCTCCGAGGAAACTGCAGAGGTTGATATACAGTATTTTACCAATATTATCAAAAATTATTCGGTTAAAAGAGTATTTATTGATTCTAAAACTAATAATTTATTTGAAAACAATACAATTATATCTAAAATATGGAAAAGATACAAGTCACTTGCCCCCAAACTAACCATATTTTCAAAGGTTAAGGTTAGGAGTGACCTGTCAATTCAGTTATTTAAAAAACCTTTAGCACAGAAGTTTAGTTTCAAAACAAGACCATCTTCTAAACGTTGTGTTATTTGGATAAATAAGGAAAACGATACAACTAAAAATGTTCATTCATCAATGACTCACCAGTCGTTAATGAAATCATGCAAAATATTAAAGGAAAGCTTTAAGCTGTCCAGGGAAAGTTCGTTGTTCTCAATATGTGGCCATACTTTTGGTTTTGGGTTTCTCAATAGCGTATTGTTAGGGATATACACTGGATGTCAAACAACTTTATTTGATATAGACGACTTCTCTCAGAATCCAAACAATTTCCTAATTGGAATTCAGAATCTTTCTGTCAGAGATCTATTTTTAACTCCAGAGACCTTTTATTTGATTATGGATCGTGCCTCCACATTGATAACTTCTTCGAAGAAGATTCAACTGGCTGCGTCACAGAAGAAGAAACAAAAAAACTCTAATTCTAGCACAATATTAAGATCTGATTTCCTGAGAAATGTACAGAACATTATGATTCCATTTTCAGGAAGGCCTAAAACTTTAACTATCGAGAATGTCATTAAGAAATATAATACAATAAGCATAAATCCAAATCAAATAAGTTATATTTACCAGAATCGTTTCAATTTCCATATATCAATGAGGTCATATCTAGGAATACCTCCAGTAGATTTATTATTGGACCCAAGATCACTGAAAGAGGGATTAATTAAGGAAATCGATCCTGCTGAGCTAGCAAATATCGAAGGGATACGAATTCAAGATTCTGGTGTGGTTCCAATTTGTACGGATGTTGCTATAGTTAATCCAGAAACATTACAACCTTGTTTGGAAGGTGAATTTGGTGAAATTTGGTGCTGTTCTGAAGGCAATGCATCTGATTATTATTTGAGTAAGGATGCCAGTGATTCCACTTCAAAAAACCGACTATTCAAAGACCAATTCATAACAGAACAATTTCGCAGTAAAATCAAATCAGATAAGGATAATGGTTTAACTTACTTGAGGACAGGAGATCTTGGATTCATAAAAAGAATTACATGTCAAGATTCCACGGGTGCTAATATTGATTTCAATTTGCTTTATGTGTTAGGAAGCATTAACGAAACAATTGATATTTTAGGGTTAACATATTTTGTTAGTGATCTCGAAAGCACAGTGAGAGAAACCCATTCTTCAATATCTAATTGTATTATAACAAAATCTGGTGGGCTACTAGTATGTCTTGTAAAATGCAAAAAAGTTAGAGATACAAAGTTTGCAAATTTGACGGCGCTAATTACTTCCAGCTTATTGCAAAAACATGGTATCATTTTAGATTTATGTTCTTTTATCAGACCAACCTCCAACACTCAGGAATTATTGGAAAATTGGACAAAAAATCGTGTTTCTATAATGAAAGAATGGTTCAGTCAAGACTTAGTTATTGAAAGCCAGTTCGGTATCAACTATGGTGAAAATATATCAATATATTTATTATCTGATTTTGAAAGAGATATTTAAATTTAGAAGAAGTATTATTAACTAGATATCCTTTTAACGACGTTATATAATTTAAATAAGATTCTTGTTTTTTAATTGGTATCTTTATGTATTCAATACATATTTAGATAAATGCTGTATAAATTTTTGAATAAAACACTGCTACACCAAGTAATAGTGTCATTGAGAAGTTCGTTAATTTCTAATAATGCTGTTTTTTTGTCCTTTCTATACTTTAATTTGAACTTTTAGGAAATACGTTACCAAAAATGGTAAACTGACCACTAACAATGGATATTGGATCATTAGGAAGAATGAGACACATTCCATTTGAATTGGATTTGGCATATCTGCTGGAGTGTAACTTGCAGTGAAATAGATGATGGTTGTCATTGTTGGCAATGACCAATTAATTGCAATAACAAATAATAATAGTTTATCGTTTTCCCAATTCAGCCAACCTGCTTTAACCAAACGATCACACCAAAGAACACCGAATATAGGCATTACACATTGTCTCAAAACGACTAGAACACAAGCAGATTTCCAGAATCCAGGGTATAAACTTCCAATTTTTAATCTACCCAACGTTGCACCTAGTAAAATAAGACCAAAAGGGACAGATGCTGCACCAACATAACCTGTAAAGTCCATTATGAAACTTAGAGCTGGTTGTTGATCCGGTGCCTGTCTTATATGTGGAGTTGTATCAGTTGTGACAAATAATGCTTTTACCCATGGAATAAATGCACATGTCAAAGCAATGATGACAGCTGCAGAGCAAGGTCTGAAACAATTCTTGATGAAGAATACAATTAATGGCGTCAAAGGGAATTTACGCAACCACTTAGGTAAAGAGCTACCTGAAGATTCAATATCATGCTTGCTAACTGTAGCGTCGGAAGTAAGTATTCTTGTTAGGTTTGATTGTCTAGTAGGTTGTACTTCAACGCCATTAATGTCATGATGAGGCCCTGTGACTGAGGAGGCATCATTTTTATCGATTGGGTTACCATATTGGTCAACTTTCGAGTATTGTTTAATCAATTCATTCATGGTATATTGTGAAGAAGTTGATTTACTTCTTGGGCGTCTTTTCACCTTTTCTTGTATTGATGCGACACTAGAGGTGTAAGCAACTGGTTGACTTTGAGTTTTCAAGACAGGAGTGGTGACCTTATCTGCGTTATTGCTTTTCCCTTTATATGAAAAATTTGAAGTTGAGCTTTCATCACTAGTGGAAAGAACTATGGATGGATTTGAGATAATGGAAGATATTACACTTTCATTACCTACCAATTCATTTCCTGGATGAATTGATCCTGATCTTGGGATGCTTAATGATTGGTCCACGACAGCTGTGCTTGGCAATGAACTTATATCTGAGGATTCACTTTTTTTTGATTTTTCATTATCAGAAGTAGTTAATTTTGAGAATCCATTTTTTTGTTTTTCAAATTCTGTAATTTCCTTATCATTTGATTGAATATCTGTTGTAGATTCGTTAATAGTTGCATTTTCTTCATCATTGTAATTAAAATCCATTTCGATTAATCTGAAGCCTCCTAGATTGAAGACACAAATTAAGAACATTGCCAAGAAGATGATGACATTAGCGACACCTTTGTCACCTTCTTCTGGAGTGAATATAAAACCTTGAGCTAGAGTTTGTAGATAAGCAATTGGCAAGTCGCTGATATTTGGGAACATCCCGCCTGCTAAGATACCACCTCTCCATTGTTTAGGTACAGGCATTGTTCTTCTTACGACGTAAGCAAAAAACAAACCAGTGCCAAAGATTAAAACTGAAGATAGGCAAATGATACCTACATCTTTTATATCTTTATCTTCGATATTTGAAACGATTTTATTGAACGACAGACAAGGTAATAAAACAGTTAGAATAATATCTGAGATAGCCTTTGTTGATTGCACGGTGATGATATCGAATTTTGAAAGCATAAACCCAGTGCCAATGATTAGATAAATTTTAATAATTGGTTTAACAGAGGACCAAATAACACTACCCAATGATACAGACATTTTTTGATTTTTTTTGATTCAGTGATGAGAGATTATGTGGTTAGCATGTATAAGATTGATGTTGTATCAGGATAGGATGTAGCGATTACTCATGAACAAATATGTAGATGAGTGTAGTGGAAAACCAAAATGGATCTGTTATAAGTGGGTATGGTATATGTATGTGTGTGTGTGTGTGTGTGTGTGTGTGTGTGTGTTAAGTAAGTATATTTATATGATTGAAAGAGTTTAAGAAGCATTGGAATGGAATGAAATGAAATAAAGTACAAAACAAAAGAGAAACGGAAAGGGTAAAGAAATGGGATGAGATGAGATGGAATTGTAGCAAGTGGTGAGATGTGACAATGCCATTGGAAAAAATTAGTCACTAGGTAACTATATATATATATCGAAGTAAGTATGTATGTCTATCAGTGATGTGATTAGGAATGAGAACCGAAAGTTGATTGCAAAATTCGAAATTCGAAATTCAAAATTTTGGGATTAGTATAAGAATTTTGCAGGACAGGAAAGGGGAAGGGAGGGAAGTGGAGAGGAGAAGAGGAAAGCCCGTAGGATTGCAGAGCATAGCAACAGAAGAGTCCATGCCAGAGAAGTGAAGGAGGAATGGCTGGCAGCATTGTGGAACCTGCGGAAGTTACCGAAGAGAACACCCTTTGTTCTTATGTTTGTTACTACGCTTTGTTCCTCTGGTTTTGTCCGGGGGCAGTCAGGTGCCGAGCGATCGAAAAACCAAAAGAAAAGCTCAGAGAGAGAGGGGCCAATGCAAGTTGCCGAAGTGAAAGAACAGAGGGAGAACACATGGAAAAGAAAAGAAAAGAAAAAAAAGGTCATTACTGAGATGGGAAGTAGTGTTGCACGAACCGACTTGGCAGAGGAAAGTACGCACAGATATCTGAGAAATTAAATTTCCAAAAAAGCAGTTTCTTTTTCTTATATGTTAAATTTAGGTACTTATTGTTTTGTGCGTATGGAAAGAGGGATGACGTAGTTTGCGCCTTTTGGACACTCACGCACAGCAAGAGCAAATAAGGTGACGAGAGAAAAGTAGCGCAGCTTTCCCCACGGCATGAACCGAACCGAACCGAGATAGTATTGTAGGGTTATTTCTTTTTGTATACCACGTGATGTACAGCATTTGTACGTCTCTTTTGAATTAGTTTCCTACATGTTAGTATCACGTGATCGTATACACAAGTACATGTTTATATATATACATATACATATACATATACAATTGCAAAGGTTTCAATGGATAGTCTTCGGAGATATTCCCACAGACATCCTATATGCTCATGTTCAATGATCTGTCAGGCACTTTCACGAAAATATCATTGGAACAATATACAGGCTCTTGCAAAACCTTACTGGGTAACAGGCATCATCTTTTGGATATTCAACCCTAACCATATATTCTGGTAGAACTCTATCAACTTCTTATCACTACGCTCACTTATTGCCTGTCTATCAGTCCAACTTCTTTTTATCAAAAAATATCTGATATCTGTTGAAACAATACCATCCAGTGTTCCTTTTGGATACAATTTGTTGGTTTCCGGACGTTGAGACATCAACAGTTTTTACTCCCCAAGACTACACAACAAGCACTCACATACCGAAACGCTCAAACCCTCAAATATATATAGAGTTTTGCTGAATTTATGCTCATGCCACTAGAAATTACTTCGTAGAAACTTTTATTTAACAAGAACTCCTCCTTTTTCCTACTATTCCCTTGACTTGTCAAAGTCCACAATCTAACATGACTTGTCCACAACGCTCTCTTACAATAGAAATAATATCTACAAATCTTATCAATACGCTAGCCACACACATCCAATAATGGGTTTAGACATCTCAAGATACAATACCAAACCAAATATATATATAACAACTATAATTATGTATTAAAAACTTTAAATAACGAGAAATCATGATTCAGATTTCGTTTCGGATAGATAGACATCTTCCCTATCTATCTATTCGTACAGCTTCAATCGATCATCTAGAATAGCTAATCAACTGACCGCTAACGAGCATCTGCGATTAACAATTTAGGATTATATTTGACTTTGTATAATAAGTTGTTTCGATTTGTTCCATTTGATTTAACTAATATCAATTGACAAAATATATATCCTTAACAACACCTTTCCCTTCTTTTCCTTTTTCTGCTTTGAATTTTTATAAAATAATAAAATTTAACCCTATCATTCTAATAATAACTTGACAATATATAGTTTATTCAAGTAATATTAGAGGGGTTACTAATTTAAAGCACTTTACTTTTTCGATATTTATATATATATCCATATATAAGTTGCAACTTAATGATTATTTGTAAAAGAAGAATATCAAATCATTGTACAATAGTTATTCAAGAAAGACTACTCTCTACAAATTACCATTGGAATCAAGAGAATAAAAGGAAGAAAAAAAGGGAGGGATTCCTATTCAAATTAAAATCAACTGGAAAAATGGACAGAGATCAACCTTTACATTATAATAACTCCAATTCCGATCCATTGGATCAAGATAGTAATGATAATATCGATAATTTTGGTAATTACCCACAAAATAGTAAACGTCAAAGGTTTTTCAACTTAATGAAAAATACTAAAAATGTCTACCTTCCAAAAACAATGGAAAGTTTAAGAAATACTACAAATTCATTCAATGATTATTTAGAAACATCTGCATCTCAAAAACAATATCAACAGTCGCAATTGAAATTCCCACAAGATACAAAGATCGATTTTTATCCAACTTATACAACACAATTACCAAATGGAAAATTCGAAACTATTGTACGTTTGTCTGTAGTTTCTCCAAGTGATCCATTAAGTAGGAAAAATAGATGGGCTTTAATGCTGTGTAAACAATTTTTAAAACCATCGACTACAAATACTGACGATGACACTCTGATTGCAAATTTAGAAGATTCAGAGGATTTAATAAATGGCAATAATGATAACAATAATGATATCTCCTCATTTAGCTCGACACCTTCTTCAACATTCAACTCAACTCCAGTCTCTCAAACTACAACAAATACCTCAATTTCAACAACTTCTAAAAGTGAATTGGATGTTGTTCAAGATCGTATATCAGGGTTTCTATCTAAAAAATTGTCAGGAATATCTCTAATAATAGACTTATTCGATTCAAAAACAGGGGAAAGTGGCCATTCAACTTTTGAAACTACTGACAACATGGGCTTCGTACTTACAAAAATCACTACAGACTTTTTGCCTAGTTCTTTACAAATAACATTAGACACTCCACCACATATAACAGATATAATATCAGGCATGTATCCAATCAATTTTATAAAGCCAAATGGTATCGGTTTAATAAGTGACATAGATGATACCATTAAGCATACAGGGGTTACTGGTGATAAAAGATCAATGTTCCGTAACGTTTTTGTTCATGATAAAGAAACATGGTTAATTGATGGTATACCGATATGGTATAATACCCTAAAGGATGTTGCAAAAAGTGATTTTTTTTATGTCTCAAATTCACCTTTACAGATATATCCAATATTACAGGACTACATCTCTCAAAATCTTCCAGATGGACCCTTATTTCTAAAACAATATTCTGGTAATATTGTTTCTAGTATTATGACATCAAGTGCAAATAGAAAGTTATCTGCAATATCTGAGGTTCTACAAGACTTCCCCGAAAAGAAATTTTTTTTAGTTGGTGATTCTGGTGAACATGATTTAGAAGCATATATTACAACCGCCCAACAGTTCCCAAATCAAATTATGGGGATATATATCAGATGTTGTAAAAATTCAATGAGTGATTTTGAAGGGAAGGAGAGGGAGGTAATGGATGAATTAAATTCGATTATTTCCAAAGAATTCTTAACATCAACATCCCTATCACAGAAATTATCTAAAAGAAGACCTCCTCCACCACCATTACCTAAAAGGAAACCAATCCTTGATGAAGAGCATATGAATTTAATTTCCGAATCTAAAGTGAGTAATATTTCAAAGGAAGGGACTGGAGAAGTGTCTACATCTAGTCAACCACCGCCATTACCGTCAAGGCAATCAACTATTCCAGATATTAACCAATTTGATGGTGATACTACATTTTTTGATGATACTGCTTCATTATATTACGATAAAAAAGCAGAAAATTGGAAAAATAGGATTTCAGTAGGAATACAGGAACTGAAGGGAACTGGGAATGATAAATTAGGAATGAGATTGATGTTCTTTTCAGATCCATCACTTCCATTAGAAGACAGCATGTGTATGGTTAGAAATAATTAATTATAGATATATATATATAATATTACAAAAGGAATATACTTGAAATTATTATTCCATTGAAATTACAAACTACTATCAAATTAAGTTATTAGATACGCATGTTATAAATATATATTAGAACATACACAATTATTAACTAACTACGAAAGGGGGGTCTTTTATTTTTTTGTCAAGATATCTATTCTTGTAATTATGCTGTTACTTCATTTGCCAACTTTTTCTTAATCTCAAAAGTTGGGTTACTACCATCACCGTAATCTTTAATGCCATCATCATCTTTATGCTCAGCTTCATGTAAAGCATCTGTAAATTCAGTCAAATCCCAAGCAGAACCTTCTGTTAATTCAGTAATATCATTTTCAGCAAAATTGGTATTGGCACTTGATAAATTCAAGATAACTTCACGACCAGATAATTTCCTCTTTTCCTTATTAGCTTTTTCTGCATTGAGTTTTTCGATTATATGTTTTTTCTTCCACTCAGCAAAGTTTTCGATAGTAATAGGTGTTAATTTTGATTTATCTAATTGATCTCTCTCATTTTCAATAAATTCTTCTAATGTAATCTTTGGTTGGTTTTCAAATGCTTCTCTTTCCAATCTTTTCTGTTCCTTAGTCTTCAGCACAAAACCTTCTGGTAAGGAATGCTTATACATACACTTATCACCATTATTTGGACAGATCCAAAACCAACCATATTTACCGTTTTCGACAGCTTCGATGAAGTATTTACAAACCTTATCGGTGGTGGTCTTTGGATTACCATGCTTGGATAAAATAACACTTCTCAATTTTTCTTCATCCCACTTATCCATGGTATCAGCTTCTTTTTCATTTCTAGTATCTTGATATAAATCTTTCTTTTCAACTCTTCTTCCAACACTCAGATCGTGGGAAAACTTACATTTAACACCTTTGTTACAGTTACCCAACTTAAACAAAGCACAAACGATAGTTTTTGGATCAACACCTGCACGAACCCTTTGTTCAACAACAGGATTGAACAATGCTCTTCTTTCAGCTTCCATAGCTTCCTTCATCTTCTTCTCTTCTAATTTTTGCATCTTCAATGTATCCTTTAGAGGGTCAGATTGTGATTGAACTTGCTTTATAAATCTCTGCACCTTAGTGGATCTATTCTTGTTCTTCATACCAAATGTCTTATCGACATTGTCCTTCTTCTTAGCAGGTTGCTGTTTCTGGTTCTTCTTTGGTGGCATCTTTGATTATTTTCTTGTATCTGCTTCTTAAATTTAGACTGATTCACCTCCTTTCTTCCTTCTAACTTCCAGGATATAAATATATGTTTATTTTCAAGAATTCAATAGGTTTAATCTTACCAATAAGCTTATCCTTCAAATATGATTATCAATTTATTCATCTCTTCTTGTAATGAGTTCTAGCTTGGCATCTCATTCCATCGCTGTTAAATTTTTCATTATTGAACAGCTTTAATGGTAAAGGAAGGGTAACAAGCGACAGATCTGAAAATCAACATGACAGTAATGACATATAATGGACCTAGTAATTGTAAAATGGGATAACAACAGTTCAAATACTCAATGATTTAATCTATTTAATGGATTGGTTAGGGTTGGGTCTATTTATTATTCCCGTAGCATACTGCATCTGCAATTAAAAACTACAATTATTGTCATGAAATTGTTAACCATTGAGAGGACTCATCGGAAAGTTATGAACTAAAAAGAATCAAATAAATGTTGTCGATGCAACTATTGTTTAAACCCTCCTTTATAATTATTCAATTTCTATATTTAATTTATTTGTTGCTTTATTTGAGACCAAAATTATTCACAGAAGTCGCTAAATCCTGGGTTCGTAAGTTTAAGTGTGTCTTGTGAAGTTGTTGAGTTATCTGAAACGGTTGCTTTGATAATTCACAAATCAGTCGGGGTTTTTAGAGTTTGATTAGACCATATAGTACTGTACTTTTAATATCAATACTTTGAGTGGCTTTAGTTGCTATCTCTTCATTTTATACAATTCATGTCAGTGTGGAAGGAAGAAAGCTGTCAGTTTGTTCCCAGACTATTTTGACATGAATGCTTGTATCTTTCTTAAATATCAGTTCAACGTACAGACTCTTTAGTGCTGAAATGTTTTAATTATCATTTCATCAAATAATGATAACTTTTGTTTTTGGGTCCATTGACTTCATACATCATGTAATTCGGATACTGCCTATTGCATACAATTAAGCAATGTTCTTCATTCCTATGACTAGGCAAATATCACTACAAAATCACTTGTCTGTCTAAATTTTGTTCAACTGTTCTCAAAAGTAAACCTATATCCTATTTATTTAAACCTATCTAGATGACCTAAATCAAGGTTTTTCTTCATATTGAGCAGTACAACCAGACAAAATATACACATATTTCAATAATAATTGATCTCCTAGGATAACTGATCACTGAAATTGGCCCCAACATACTTCTTAGTGCAGTGCTAATCTACAGTTGATGATATTGTAGGAATTGTATATCTTATAACGTCTGTTTTCATCAGTTCCCTTATAAAGAACAGATCCATTTTAAGTGAAAGATAACTTTAAGTTATTCACTATTACATAAAATATTTAAACAAAAGCAAGAGATATTGGGATTGACTCGTTGTTATTGAAGGTAGGATCGTTAGGAAACTGGTAGTGCATTTAGTAATGGATTCAGAAAGTGCTAATTCTGTTCATCCCGTTGAATTATGTGTGTATTCAACTCTTTCATCTGATTTGGATAGCATTTATCAAGCCATAAGTGAATTGAGAAGGTCACAAGCGATGTTATTGTTTACAATAAGGAAAATAAGAGACTCCATCAAGGAAGAGAATGATTCATTGTACGAGATTCAAGATTTAGAGATACCTATTCAGAGATTGAATGATTTGACCAAAAGAGCAAATAATTTGCAAAGAAAGTACGATTTATTGAAAGAGAAAACTTCAAGGCTTGCCAAGAAAGAAGATGAAGAATGATTGATTCATAGACCTTACTTGAAGTATCATATATTTGATCTGTTTTTGATGAAATGGATACAGTACAATAAAACCTATGCTTATTTTGGGATTTTTCAAGTTATAGAACCCTGGGATATGTCATGTTTCAAGAATTATTGCCAATTACTATAAAACAAAGCCTGAAGTCAGATTGCAAGATAAGAAATATGAGATCGATAGTTCTTGACTTTCATATTATGATGAAGGTACCTGCTTTGGTCGCGTGGTTGTAATGAAATCAGCAGGAATTTGTCTTAAATCCCTTTACCATATATTCTGAATTTAAATAGTGGGAAGGGGAAACTTTCCAAAGCACTAAGCAGTATTAATAATGGTGCGGAATATAGAATTTAATTACATGTCCCTGGACCCTAATGTTGTCGATCTAACTCTACACTTGTGTGAGTATAAATATTTTTTTACTACTTTATGAGACCTAATTTTTACCTTTAAATGCGACAGGACAAGGAAGAACAATCACCTGCAATTTTCAGAGATACCATCCATGATGACCTTATACCTCTAATGATAGCAGATTAGAGACCCAATTGACCCCAGTGTCTGTTATAAATGTACCATCTCCATTTATAACTGACATCTCTCTTGTAGTTGCGTAAACTCATCACTCAACGTATCATGTGATATCCATTACACTTCTTAATAGTGTGGCAAAATTTTCCAATATGAAAAGTTAAAACCAAACTGATTAAGCAATATAAAGAAAGAACATCATCTATCATATCAGTTTAAAATTAAAGGATAGTTCTTCAATTGTGGTTTAATTTGGGATTTGAAAGGCAGCAAGTATTTGTAAGGTTCATTGGGAGGTAATCTAATTCAGGTGGTGGTATTTTTTTTACTTGGTATTGTTTAGATTCTGGAAGATAGACACATTAAAAGAGTGAAAGAACTAGGAAAAACAAAAACAATAATGAGTGTTCAAATTTTTGGTGATCAAGTTACTGAAGAGAGAGCTGAAAATGCTCGTATGTCTGCCTTTGTTGGTTCAATTGCCGTTGGTGATTTAGTTAAGAGTACTTTAGGACCAAAAGGTATGGATAAATTGTTACAGAGTGCTTCTAGTGAATCAAGTTTAGTTACCAATGATGGTGCTACTATTTTAAAATCCATCCCATTGGATAATCCTGCTGCGAAAGTTTTGGTTAATATCAGTAAAGTTCAAGATGATGAGGTCGGTGATGGTACTACTAGTGTCACTGTATTGAGTGCTGAATTGTTAAGAGAAGCTGAAAAGTTGATTGAACAATCCAAGATTCATCCTCAAACTATCATTGAAGGTTATCGTATTGCATCGGCTGCTGCTTTAGAGGCTTTGACTAAAGCTGCTGTTGATAACTCTAAAGATAGCACTAAATTCCGTGATGATTTGGTTCATATTGCAAAGACTACTTTGTCATCAAAGATTTTATCTCAAGATAAGGATTATTTTTCTACTTTGGCTACAGATGCTATCTTAAGATTAAAAGGATCCACAAACTTAGAACATATTCAAATTATTAAAATCTTGGGTGGAAAACTATCGGATTCCTTCTTAGATGAAGGTTTCATTTTGGCAAAGAAATTTGGTAATAATCAACCAAAGAGAATTGAAAATGCAAAAATTTTAATTGCTAATACTTCATTAGACACTGATAAGGTGAAAATATTCGGTACTAAATTTAAAGTTGATTCAACTTCCAAATTAGCTCAATTAGAACAAGCAGAACGTGATAAAATGAAAAAGAAAATTGCTAAAATTTCAAAATTCGGTATAAATACTTTCATCAACAGACAATTGATTTATGATTATCCTGAACAACTGTTCGCAGATCTAGGTATTAACTCAATTGAACACGCTGACTTTGAAGGTATAGAAAGATTGGCATTGGTCACAGGTGGTGAAGTAGTCTCAACTTTTGATGAACCAGATAAATGTAAATTAGGTGAATGTGATTTGATAGAAGAAATTATAATTGGTGAAGAAACCTATTTGAAGTTCAGCGGTTGTAAAGCAGGTGAAGCTTGTACTATTGTTCTAAGAGGTGCTACTGACCAAGTATTGGATGAAGCTGAAAGATCTCTACATGATGCATTATCTGTTTTATCTCAAACAACTAAGGAAACAAGAACCGTTTTAGGTGGTGGTTGTGCTGAAATGTTAATGTCAAAAGCCGTTGACACAGCCGCTCAGAATGTTGATGGTAAAAAATCATTAGCTGTTGAAGCTTTCGGACGTGCATTAAGACAATTGCCTACCATTTTAGCAGACAACGCAGGTTTTGATAGCAGTGAGTTGGTTTCCAAATTGAGATCGTCTATCTATAATGGTATGTTGACATCAGGTTTGGATCTAAATAATGGTAAAATCGCTGACATGAGAGAATTAGGTATTGTTGAAAGTTATAAATTGAAAAGAGCAGTAGTTAGTTCGGCTTCAGAAGCTGCCGAAGTATTATTAAGGGTTGATAATATCATTCGTGCTAAACCAAGAACTGCCAACAGACAGCATATGTAATATCTCTATATTTCATGACATAAAATAATTAAATAATTAATCTCATAATTTGATTTGTAAAACAAGAGGGAAAAAAGAGGAAATGGAAATTGAGACATGTAATGCAATTAATATTCCATTTTTGAACAATATCTAATTGTTTATGTCGCAGTTTACAGTAATCCCATATCTACTTTTGACTAGACTATGAATAAATGGACTGTTGTACATGTTAATATATTTCCATATTAGATACATAAATGAAAAGGAATCTATTTCAAAAATTAAAAGAATTCGATTTCAGATTATTCATTGTATTTGTCTGGAGTAGAACATTGATGTCTCTATCAACAAGAATTAATCTGGTTGCAACAAATCTCAAGGAGGAAATTCTAAAATCAGTGATATATCATGATACCGTAAATGGTAATAGCAATCATAAATTAATCAATTCGAAAACGAAGAAGGAAATTTAATATAATCGTAATAGGTACTCATGTCCATATAAGATTTCATAGATGATGCCATTTTTGGTTTTATTTTTTGTAATAGTCAACTGTAAAGTCTGTTATCACCAGCAAGTACAAGAAAAAAATAATCTATGCTAGGAATACATTCAATCAAAAAGAAAGTTAAAATATGAGACTAATCACTATTAAATCCAAGAAAATATTATAGACATAGAAAAAAAAATCAGTAATCCTTTGTAAGTACATCTTTTCGCATCTCTAATACTCTATAACCTCTCTTAAATTAGCTACCATTGGTAGCTAATTTCTTTCTTCTATGCAAATTATTTTCCTATTCGAACAATTTGACGCGTTAAGTTTTACATCAAAATTTCTAAAGCTCTTGCATTTCGCGTCAAATGCATTCGAAATGACATTCGAAATATCAAATAATGTTACCAATTATAGTAAAAGCTATAAAAAGTTTAAATGTTAAAGTTGCTAAGTTTTCGTTACTTTACCAAGTTTGCTGGTGATAATGATGACATTAGATACACGAATAGTTTAAGGATGTAGTTATATTTTGTGTTTTTATTTGAGAGTGTAACTATTTGGGATGCTAGCAAGCAATTAATTGCCCCATCTGGTAGAATTAGATATTTAGGATATGTTATATTATATTTATATATATGAAAGCACTTGAAGATAAAGTTATTTTATAAAGAATACTAAAGTCGAGTTCCAATTTTATTTGTGTGTGTATGTGCATATGTGTAGTTCTTGATATTTCTTAACTTTAGTTTACCAAGGCAAATTTCTGATTGTTTAAGACAAATATACTTACTTTGACGCTTCTACTATCAACATTAGAATAGATATTTATTTATCAAGTAAGAAGGTCATCAGATATGATGAATGTCTTTTTGTCGAAATATCTGCTCTTCTTTATAATATCGATTTCAAGATTAGTTTCTTGTTATCCATATGAAGCTTATTCGATTAATAAACAATATCCTCCAGTTGCTAGAATTAATGAAACATTTAATTTCCAAATTTCTAATGATACCTATAAATCAAATAATGGAGTGTCGCAAATTTCTTATCAAGTTTATGGTTTGCCAACTTGGTTAAGCTTTACTTCAGACACACGTACTTTCAGCGGTACTCCACCTAGCAAATTACTGAGTGATGATATCGATAAATTGTATTTCCCAATTATATTAGAAGGTACTGATGAAGCTGACAATATTGGTTTGAATAATACTTATCAGCTTGTTGTAAGTAAAAAGACCAGCATTGAAGTTGCAAGTGATTTTAATTTATTGGCCCTATTGAAAAATTATGGCTATACGAATGGTGCAGATGGGTTGATCTTATCTCCATATGAAATTTTTAATGTTACCTTTGATAGGTCAACTTTTACAGATGAACAAGAGATTGTAGCATATTATGGGCGTTCAAGACAATATAATGCTCCACTACCGAGTTGGTTATTTTTTGATCCAAATACATTAAAGTTTAGTGGAACTGCGCCAGTTGCTAATTCACAAATTGCTCCTCAGATAGGATATGAATTCACATTAATTGCAACTGATATTGAAAATTATTCAGCTGTCGAAGTACCATTCTCATTAGTTATTGGTGCACACGCTTTGACAACCTCAATTCAAAACACTTTGGTAGTAAATATTACAGATACACGTAGTTTCAGCTATGATATCCCTTTGAATTATATTTACTTAGATGGTGATGAAATTAATACAAATAACATTAGTAGAATTGCTCTTAATGATTCACCATCATGGGTGAAAATTGATAATTACACTGTAGAAGGTACAGTACCAGCAGATACAGATCTATCAAAATCAGAAACATTCTCCCTTGCAATTTATGATATCTTTGGTGATGTTATATATTTGAATTTCGAAATAATGTCAACTACAAATTTATTTGCAGTAAATTCATTACCAAATATTAACGCAACCCGTGGAGAATGGTTCCAATACAATTTTTTACCTTCCCAATTCACGGAATATTCTAACACGAACGTAACTGTAGAATATACAAACAATACCGAAGATTTTACTTGGTTATCATTTCATGCATCTAATCTAACCCTTTATGGTAATGTCCCTGAAGATTTCAGTTCAGTGTCATTAAATTTAGTAGCAGAACAAAATTCTAGGATTGATAAATTAGGATTTAGAATTTTGGGTACAAATCCAGTTTTACCTAATAATACAACAAATCATAATATCACTACATCAAGAAATTCTTCATCAACTACTAGGTCTTCCTCAACGTTATCATCATTAGCCAGCTCTTCATCATCATCTTCTTCATCATCTTCGGTGTCTGAAACTTCGTCAATTTCTGCCAGCACAGCGCAAAGTACCGAATCAACTACAAATGGACCAGTTTCAGCTAATTCAGAACATTCTTCTAGCAAAAAAGCAGTCGCTATAGGTTGTGGTGTTGGTGTTCCAGTTGGTTTAATTGTAATTTGTATAATTATATTTCTGTTCTGGAGGAAATCACATAAAAAAGACAAGAATGTTGAAGATACAGAAAAGGGACAAGATCCAAAAGGTCCTGGAAATGGACCTGTAACAGGTAGCCAAGATGACAGCGATGCAACCATAGATCCATTTAGTGATGTGAATGCTAAAAGGATGGATGTTCTAAATGCTATAAAACTAGACAATATTTCGTCTTCATCTGAATCGGATAACTTTACTTTGGATGAAAAGAAGAGCCATCATAGTATCGGTAGTAGTGGCAACGTATATTTTGACGCATCGAATTCACCAAGTACAGAGATGTTATTGGGAAAGCCTGATAATTATTCATCTGATGATGTGAGATTCAATAGAACATCTTCATTATATTTAAATAGTGAACCTGCTAGTAGAAAATCATGGAGATTTAATCCAGATAGAACGATAAATGGTAATAATAGAGAGATAAGGGATAGTTATGTATCCTTGAATACAGTTTCTACGGACGAATTTTTGAACACTGAGTTGAGCAATGAAGATGAGATAGAAAAGGATCCAAGGAAGTCAGCATTAGGGTTAAGGGATTCCATGTTCAACAATAGAGAATCCGTGGATTCTAAACAACGTCATTCTAGTAGAAGATATTCATCCAAATATGGAGTTCTGCCTGCATTAGACGAAGCTTTCAGTCATTCAGAATATACATCTGAAGGTACTATGTCGACATCATCTTCTGATCAATTTATTCCAATTAAATCAGGTGAAAGATATAAATGGGTTACCAAAAATGAGCCAGACAGAAAGCCAAGTAAAAAAAAGTACATAGATTTGCATGATGGTAATAACATCGATATTCAAAGGGGTTTAGAGATTGAAGGTCATAGTCCTGAAAAACTATGAGAGCTAGATCTTTTCATAAGGTATAAAATGTAACAATATATCAATAATTATATAGAATATTAATTTAATTAAAACTAATAATAATCATTAAAACTAATACAAAAAAAAATATCATATTAAATTTATTTAATCGTGTTACAGAATGATTTTGGGAGATTGACGGGGTAAAGACGTTAGTTTTCTTTAACTTGTCTAACATATAAAGCAGTTTCAGTTGCACGTCTTCTGCCTTCAATAAATTCAATCATTTCTGAATATGTTTCTGGGACAACAGTTGAGTATCCACTACTATGAGTACCCTCTTGAACTGCATCCTTAGGTGCGAAGAAAGAATATATAAAAGAACCAGATTGTTGTTTTTTGGTTGATGCTAAATCTTGAACAGTTGTATCAACTTTGACTTGAATTAATGTACCAGGTTTAGATAAGAAACTGTCTTTGTCAAAGGATAGCTTATTAACTGCAGTTGGTTGAGAATCAGTAACTGCGTTACAGTTTGCTTCTTCCACAGTGCTATTATCTTTACCAGTTTTAGCTTGTTCATTACTAGCCTTGTGGACATGTTCAGTATATACAACAGTGGCATTCATGTGTAAAATTGAGCCGACAGGAACAGGGGTCTTGAAAGTGGTAGAATCTAATGACATAAATCTTGGGTATGAATGAGAAAATGACGCAGCTGAACAATAAGCCAATTCAAAGGTTTGTCTCATCAAATAGCCACCAAAGATCATATAGGAATGTCTGTTTCTATATTGCGGTTGCATAAACATTGTTGATTCCACATCAGTGTCCTTCATAAATGAGACATTACTTGGCTTATTTGGCATTGAAGTCAATCTTTTAGAGGCACTCCATAATTGATGGATTATCAAAGACTCTTCTTCAGTTGGTGGATTTTTTTCTAGATTAGAATTACTAGCATTTAATTTCTTTGCTGCAATACGAGATTCAGCACGCTTAAAATCCAACCATTGTTTTTCATTCAATGGTAATAATCTGTTAATCTCTAAAGACTTATGGGTTTCAGGGTTTCTTGCTACAAAGGTGAAGGAGGCAGTTAAAAAGATATCATCATCCGATAAAGTCTCTTCTGATATTTCCTTTGGTACTTCATTTTTAGTGGCTCTTGCGGTGATAGCTATTTCCATTGATGATCTACCAGTATAGATAACAGAACCTGATAAGATCACATTGTAATCTGCGATTGAGTCGATTGGTTTCAATAGATAAATTCTATCTACAGATGCAGTTACGATCATTGGTTCTACTGGGGCAGTATGTTTATAAGCAATTTTACCAGCTAAAGAATCTAAATCCTGAAATAATTGGCCAATTCTAATTCTACCAGCAGCATTTACATAGAAGTCAGCAACGATTGGGTTCTCTTTAAATGGTAAGACGACATGGGCAAATGATTCATTTCTGGTCTTTTCGACGATATCATGAGATTTGATATGATTATAAACATAGGAATCTATAATTTTACCTTGTTTCAATTGCTTCTTGCGTTCAGCCAAGGCATTTAGCCAAGTAGCTTTAAAATTCTTAACGGAATCATGGGCAACACGTTGGTATTCATAGTAATCAGTGGTCAAAGTGGCAGTAGCATCAGGACGTGAAATTAAATCATCTTTAGTTTCTTGTGGAATGCTTTTATTCAAAAGGAATCCCTCAGTGAAACATCTTTTCAATAGCAATGAGGAGATGAAAAGGTTATTAGAGTTAACTCTAATCGATTTAGTGTGAAATTTTAGCATTATCTCTGATTAATTGAAATTAAAACGAGATAACCTTTAATTCAATAAAATTTAGTTCTTGGTGTTTGTAAGCTTTGTATTTTTTGATTAAATTTATCTTTATTTGATCTTTATTCTTAATTTATAATCACTGTACTGAAATATTCTTGGGTGACTAATTTCAGGGTCTGGAATCAAAAATATTTTTCACTACGTACTAGCCACTATATATATATATATATATATAGGAATTATAAGATGATAGATTAATTAACAAGAGACGATATGAAGAGATTGATAAGAAGAGATTGATAAGAAGATAGTAAGAATCGAGAATAATCAATCTGTAATGGTTACGATACCAATGAAAATTCAAAGTAAGCATTAATATAATTTATTCATTCATTCATCGAATCATCCAGCAAAGAGAAAAACTGTCAATAAAAATAAAACTTTTAGAGTAATTAAACGTAAATGTAGCCATATCTCAATGTCTAGACTTCTTGTTGCCCTATCCTCCCCCTCTCCCTTCTCTTCCCCCCTTGTAGTAACTCGATTCCCCGATAGGGAATAGTGCAATGCATTGGTATTAGCACTGAAATAATTCAAGATTCAGTAACATAACATGCTACCGATGTCATCAAACCAGGTCAAGACAATTGAAATCTGTCAGTTCAAAGTCAGGTCTTTATTTTACAATGAACTCATCAATCCACTCCGAACAAGAAACATCATCGAAACATTGATCCATCTCTTATTCGATCATTAAAAGCAAGATTAATGGTTCACTTGTTTTGAATATATTGCAAATACAAAAAATATCCCATTTCCCTTCATATAATAAATAATACAACTTTATTAACTTGTTGATAATTAAACGTTTAATCCATCAGTGTTACGTCTATTCAAGTTATGTTTTAATGATATTAACATATTTGATTCGAATCGAACTTGTTTATTCGAATCAAATAGAATCGAATCGAAATCTGTTTATCAAACAAGTTTCGAAACTGTCTTTAACGATTGATTGATTGATCTATCGAAATCTCTTGATGTTGCTTCTTTAACTACAAGTTATACCATTTGTCAAGACAAGATAGATGATTGTTTTGTGTGTGAGTTTAGTTGACGGTGGTTCTTGATGTTTTGTAGATTTGTAGAAGTTTAAAGGTTATAGGATGTCTCTATAATCCAATTGACCCTGTTGCAATCTGGTATTTCGAGAGAAAAGTAGTTGTGGTCGTTGTTGTAGTGTCTCTGTGTATTGGAGATTGCGATCAGGTTCATGTTCATGTTCATGTTCACGGTCTGATTAGATTGGTTTATTTTATTCATTGATCGGTTCTCTTAAGGACATCAGTTTTCGTTTTACGTACGGTTTGCCTAGTTTATTAGATTTCGAAAACTACTGCTACTTGGAGGAAAGGGAAAAATCGTATTCTGTTCCTGCTTTTATTTTATTTTATTTTAGTTTACTTTGGTTTTAGTTTTAGTTTTAATTTTATTGTCATTTTTATATACTTGGTTATCGTTATTGCAAGGGTCGTTGATTGTTGGATTATCAAATCTGAATCTGTGTCTGTCTGACTTGAGTGTTGCTGTTGTCGTTTTTCCCTTTCAAATTTATTTAACTTTGGAACTTTTTAAAAAAATTCTCTCCACATTTAAGTTGCTGTTGAAAAGAGTAAACCAATATAATATCTATTAGAAGTTTGGATTTATTTGTATCATAGTCAAATTTATTTATTGTTTTAATTGGAATAACTAAACTATTGTTGAGGATACACACGCATATATATATATTAAAGTGAGCTTATTTGGTGGATCTGCCTGACGTTGTGTTAATATCTCTTACCTTTTTTTCTATTTTTAATTTATATATTTTAATTTTGGTCTTCTTTGATTACAACAGTTACTAGGATTCTGTTGTAACGTATTATACCAATATATACTGTTGTCTAAATGGTAAAACGAATACAAGAAACTGATCAGGAAAAGTCAGCACGTCATGAGAAGTTGTTTAACCAATTAGATATAGATGGCAATGGGAAAATAGAACTAGATGAGTTGAAAAAGGCATTCTTAAAGAATAATCATCCATTGAAGAATAATGATGATGCAATTAAAGATTTATTTATTGCTATGGACTACGACAAAAATTCTGTTGTTGATTTAAATGATTTCATAAAGTACGTCTCACTGGCAGAATCTCAAATCGAAATTGGTTTTAATAAAATTGACGTAGATCAAGATGGTAAAATCAAACCATCAGAAGTTTCAAAATATCTATTGAATTTATCTAGAAATTGTAATGGAAATTCTGGGGATACCAACCATGATAATATTGCTAATAATGATAGTAATAGTACAAGTAATAAAGTTCATGGTAAAAACCATAATAATAGCAATCAAGATAAAAATGAATCGAATTTTACAAAATTTATTCATTGGGCATTTTATAAAAAACATAAAAATAATGAAACAAGTGAAATGGAAATCGAAATTGAGAATGATAAAAACTATATAACTTATGATCAATGGAGAGATTTCCTACTACTCATGCCAAAGGCAAATGGTACTCGTTTACAATCTGCATTTTTTTATTTATTTCAAGAAGATGTCGACTTATCATCTGAAGGGGACGTCACTCTAATTAATGATTTCATAAAAGGTTTCGGTTTCTTTATAGCAGGTGGGATTTCAGGTGTCATTTCTCGTACTTGTACCGCTCCATTTGATAGATTAAAAGTTTTCCTAATTGCAAGAACAGACTTATCTTCAACTTTACTGACATCAAAGGAAGTTATGTTAGCAAATAAACCAAATCTGAATTTAAGTAAAATTAAATCACCTTTGATAAAAGCTATAACGACTTTATATAGACAGGGTGGTATAAAGGCATTCTATGTCGGTAATGGTTTAAATGTAATAAAGGTTTTACCAGAAAGTTCCATGAAATTTGGTTCATTTGAATTGACTAAAAAAATAATGACAAAAATTGAAGGTTGTAAAGATCCTTCAGAATTATCAAAAGTTTCAACTTATATTGCCGGTGGTCTGGCGGGTGTAGTGGCTCAATTCTCGATTTATCCAATAGATACTCTAAAATTTAGAATGCAGTGTGCCCCGTTAGGTGCGCATAAAAAGGGCAATCAATTAGTAATTGAAACAGCAAGGCAATTATATAAAGAAGGTGGATTAAAATTATTTTATAGAGGTATTGCAGTAGGAGTAATGGGTGTCTTCCCATATGCTGCTTTAGATTTAGGTACCTTCACAGTATTGAAAAAATGGTATATTGCTAAACAATCTCAAAAATTAGGCATTCCAAAAGACGAAGTAATTATAAGCAATTTCATCCTATTGCCGATGGGTGCATTTAGTGGTACTGTAGGTGCTACCGCTGTCTATCCAATAAATCTACTGCGGACTAGATTGCAAGCTCAAGGAACATTTGCTCATCCATATAGATACACTGGTTTTAGAGATGTTTTAAAGAAAACTATTCAAAGAGAGGGATATCCAGGTCTGTATAAAGGTTTATTACCAACCCTCGCAAAAGTATGCCCAGCAGTCTCTATTAGTTACTTGTGTTATGAAAATTTAAAAAGAGTAATGAAATTAGAATGATAGTAACTAACTGCTTTGGTTTTTTTCATCTATTAAATTCATTTTTTATATTAATATTCGTTATTATAAAGTTTTCCCTCAATAGTAGTAGTAATGAGGTAATAATAGTACTGAAGGAATAACTTTAAAAATAGATACAAACTCATTATCAAATTCTTTGTAAAAAGATTATTTAATTTATATATAAATTTTAATATACAATATTCTATATTTATATCCCCCATTCAAAGTGGCATATTTCGTAATCAAACCTTATAAAAATCGTGTCGTTTCATATAGAGCTGATAAGTTCTGGTGTATCACTTGTCGGATAAATTTTATTTACTCTTTCATCTGCAGTTAATAATTGTTCACAATAAGCGTATATAATTAAAGGACCAACATCACAGCCTACAATTGAAGTCATTTTTGTTTTTGGTAAATACAAAGAATCTGACTTGGATAGATGTATGCCATTATTATCGTCCTCCTCAGATTTAGTCCAATTTGTATCCCTTTCATATTCTAATTTCTGCTCTTCGTTGGTAATTGTCGATATATCTTGAGAATTCTCCCCTAATTGCATATCAATTACATTTATCGTCGCTTCAAATGTCACAGTATCATCTGATATAGGTGGCATTTTTTCCAATATGGATATCAGACTATTTAAACTTGATCTGAATTCATCAAATACTTCAGACTCTTGGAGGGTCCCAATATTCTCGATATGTTTAAATTCTCCAAAATCAAGTACATATTTCTCAACACAAATGTTATCTTCAAAACTAGTAATACAGATTGAAAACCTATAGATCTTTAGAATTTTACTTAAGAGATCCTCGATGAGCTCTTCAATGTAATTCTGCAATCCAACATGTCTATTGATTGGTATTGATTGTGGTAAATTAAACCCTTGGTATGTAGTTATATCAAACGATACTTCTGGATATACATTCCGATGATATAAAATTAAATTTATGTAACATTTCAGATAGACTCGAATCCATTTATTAACCCATTTATTCATAAGGTAACCTAGCAAATCAGCTAATCTAAAATTTAATGGCAATAAACTTGATGTAATTTATAACATGTTCCTAACATTCTTGCTAAAAATGCATTTCGATATCTCTCTTTTCCTTTTATATTGCTAAAATCCAATTCGCGTCAGAAGATTATTTAAAAGGAAGGAAAACTCGAAACTTACCTCATCGATTGATCCAAAGTGTAAGTTACTTTCATGGTTATTATACTTGTTGATCTGTTGGTACGTCCAAAGTTTTAAGTATTTGATTAAGTGGTATGCAATGAGTAAGATTGCTTCATTGGGCAAGTCTGATGTCCATAGGATCACTTCTGGTCAGGTTATTATAGATTTAACTACAGCAGTTAAAGAATTGATTGATAATAGTATTGATGCGTCAGCAAAACAAATTGATATTACACTAAAGAATTATGGTATAGATTCTATAGAATGTTCGGATGATGGAGTTGGTATTTCTGTTGATAATTATGAATCTTTGGCTCTGAAACATTATACTTCGAAAATTTCAAATTTCGAAGATGTTTCTTCTGTACAAACTTTAGGGTTTAGAGGTGAAGCACTTTCATCATTATGTGCTATTTCAAAGGTATCTGTAGTCACTACCACTAAAGCTCCTCGTGCTGATAGATTAGAGTACGACATGCATGGGACATTGATTGGTAAATCTACGACAACAAGAAATAAAGGAACTGCTGTTATAGTTTCGCAACTTTTTAATAATCTACCGGTTAGAAGAAAAGAATTCATTAAGACTAGTAAAAGACATTTTACAAAGTGTATAAATTTGATACAAAGTTATGCCATTATACAGAATGACGTCAAATTTACTGTTTGGCATGTTACACCAAGTGGTAAAAAGCAACAAATACTTTCCACTTTAAGAAATAATAGCATTCAAAAGAACATACTGAGTATATTTGGATCTAACAGTTTACATGGACTTTCTGATATTGATGCTGAGATTGATTTGAATCCTTATAAACCTTCTTTTGGTAATAAATACGTTATGGACACTGGTTTTGAACAATTGGACTACAAGATAAGGGCTAAAGGGTTAATCTCTAAGAATTCATTTGGATGTGGTAGAACTTCCAAAGATAGACAATACGTTTACATTAACAAAAGACCTATTGAATACTCCTTAATCAATAAATGTTGTAATGAAATTTATAGACAATACAATAATGTACAATACCCAGCATTTTTTATAGACTTTGAAATCTCATCGGAACTGATTGATATTAATATAACACCAGATAAACGTACTATTTTATTTCACAATGAGAGATATGTTATAGACGTTTTCAAAGAAGAGTTAATAAAATACTATGACAAACAAGAATTCTCACTTCCGAAACAATCCAGAATAAAATCATCTGAGGATGAGATAAGATTAAAACTCGAGTCACAAGTCCAAAACATTCAATCAATAAAGAAAGTTGAACCTGATATAATAAATGAATCTGAGGGTCATAAATCCCTTGAGATAGATATGCCTTTTGATGATGATACGAAATTAAGTACACAAGATAGCCTTAATGATGGTCAGTCAGAAACTAACAAGTTAGATAATGATGAATTCATTTCGCAAAGTTCCCTAGTCCAAAATAAAGAAGACGAATCTGATAGTAGTGAAAAAATACTTGAATATACGCAGAAATCTTCTTCAGGTAGGAAAAGAAGGTTAAGCGATGATTATGAAGAACTCGAAACCTCAAGAAGTGATAAATCAGAGAGTACTGGACGATTACATGAAAATTCTGGCGAAGTTAAAAATATAGACAGTGCTGTGGAACTGATAAATTCTGATAATGATTTCTCAAATGATGAAGTTAGCGATGTGACCATAGAAAAAGGATCTGTCGTAACTAATAAAAGAACAGATAGTTACCGCCCTTCAAAAAGAACAAATATTGCTTCAAATTTAGCATTAGATTCATTTATCAATCCACACTTTGAAGAATCTACCTTATTGAATAATAGTCAAACCTTTCAGAGGAATGATGTCGAGAGTGAAGATGTTCTGGTAGAGATAGAGGGTGAGACCGAGCAACACAAGGCTGCCTTATTTGACGAAAAGCTTCATTTTATTTCTGATGAGCCAATGGATAAAACTGAAGTAGCAATTATAACTGATTCAAATAATTCATTGGAAGAAGGTTGTCATAGTAAGGAAAATGACGAATGTTGTAGCGAGTCTGATTCCATTCTGGATATCCAGTTAGCACCAGAAGAATTAAACATTCGAACTCCAATATCATATTCATGGGGAGGAGGCAAAGTAAAATACTCATATAGATCACTAACTGACTCTACGGCTAATTCTGAATTAGATGCGCCAATAGTAGAAACTTCATTAGATGTAGAACCTCTAAACAGGTTGATTGAAGAATTGAGTGTGATTGGAAATTTGATAACTTCGAATCATGATAATTCCCATAATAACGAAGAAACTAGAAATTATAAAATTGAGGATATTGAAGAAGGTGAAAAGTATTTGACACTTACTGTTAACAAAGATGATTTCAATAGGATGGAAATAGTTGGACAGTTTAATCTTGGTTTCATTATAGCGACTCGAAAAGTAGGTGATAAGTATGATTTATTTATCATTGATCAACACGCCAGTGATGAAAAATATAATTTTGAAACCTTACAGAAATCTACGGTATTTAAATCACAGAAATTAATTGTACCCCAACCTGTAGAGTTGAGTGTCATTGATGAATTACTTGTTATCGAAAATATTGGAATTTTTGAGAAAAATGGTTTCAAAATAGAAGTTGATGAAGATGACACACAAGGCAATAAAATCAAGTTGGTTAGTTTACCTGTATCAAAAAGGACGTTGTTCGATATTAATGATTTCATGGAATTGCTTCATTTAATAAAAAATAATGTTGGTATTATCAAGAGTGATATAAAATGTACAAAAATTAGATCAATGTTTGCAATGCGTGCATGTAGAACGAGTATTATGATTGGTAAACCTCTAACCAAAAAAACAATGTCTAAAGTAGTTAAACATTTAAGTGAATTGCATAAACCATGGAATTGTCCTCATGGAAGACCGACGATGAGACATTTGATGGAATTAAAGCAATGGGATAATTTTATTGATGATTATAGTATATAAAGTGATGTATAGATAAAGCATTGCTTAAACTGGATATAAGGACGGATTCTAAAAAGTATGATAAAAAATATGATTAAAATACAAATGCAAACTAATATTATATAACGCTGCCTCTTAAGTAAACATGAATTTGACAACATTTTGGATAGCTAAATAGTAAAATACAAATTGGTTGAGATTCTTGCAAACGAGTATCAGTAACAATTAATGGAACAAAGCCTTAATAAATGCATCCATGGGCTACAACGTAATCCATAAATTATGATCTGTAAGAATTTTGGATTAATAAAGTAATTTGTTCTACATCTAACCTCTGAATGAATAAATTTCTTAACAATCCTACCATAGTTATGAAACTTGCCAAGCCAACAGGTACAACACAAAACACTGTTATATTGTATAAGTCTATAGTTCTTTTCTTAGTAAATTTAAAGGATTTTAAAGACTTCTTCCTTCTTTTCCTTTCCCTTGAAGTCATAGTTGAGTTATCTGTACTTACTGAGTCACTAGATGTGGGACGGATTGTACTTTCAGCACTATTATTATTTACACGATATGCTCTCCCATCATATTTCCTTAATATTAATTCATCTTCCTCATCGTCATCGTCTTCACTAACATAGTTTAAATTTGAAGAGAGGTAGCTCTGCCAAATAAAGGCAGCGGTTAATATACAACTAATCAAAATCCAGGTATGTAAGTAATAATCACTCTGTGGTGAAAACGAAGATAGTAGCACTAATTCCAAGGTTACTAATAAAATAGACATAGAAAACATTCTTAGAATAGCTGCGACAGTTGAGTATTTGACAATCCAACGTACCATTAAAGAATCTAAAATGGAATAAGTCAGGTACAGTGAAACCAGGCACCATAAGGCACACAAAATATATTCTGATGAGCTTGCTCTTGTGATAGAATCCAATACTAGGTTTTCACGACCTAAATCTTTTCCTAATCTGTTCAATGTATTTGAAACTGGGGAGCTTAAATGTGTTGTTGAGGAAGATGAAGATGAAAAGGAAGATGATGATTTATTATTGGAATCATTGTTAACCATATATGTTTGCCATAAAAGAGATAACATTTCTGTTATTGATTGAATATCATATATATGTATAGATTTCTTTGAATTTGAAGAAACTTCCCAAGCTTTTTTCAAAGAATTGCAGAAGTATATTATTGGTAACAACAAGGAGAAATCCCTACATATTGCCATTAATAGATGTTGCTTTGCTGTTAAATGGCTTAAAGATAAAGTTTTCATTGAAGCATAAACTTTCATAAACGGTAACGATTTTTTCTTATTGTTGTTGTTGTTATTGTTGTTGTTGCTATTAGTGTTGTTACTGACATTCGAAGAGTTCAGTATAATATTTTCAGTAGTACCATCCAAATTATCATTATTATCGTTCTCCACACGGTTAATATTGATATCACTACTGCTACTATTTAAATTGCTATTATTAGCATTATTTAAAGTACCAGAAGGGTTACCATAATGATAGTAATGGTGATGGTGGTGATGATGATGAACTGCAGATGATGAACCTAAGGAAGTTTGGCTGCTGTTCCTAGTATGCAAATTTGTGGAATCGCTAAAAGACGTCATATATAAAACATTTAAAAGCTACAGGTATATTTCTCCTTAATTGAAATCAGATTAGACTGTATTGAAAAGTTAATGGATAAAAAAAAAATGGAAATTACTTTGGGGACAAAATACAAAGTAAAGGGACGATTCTGATTTATAACGTCAGAAAATAAAATGAAATATGTATTTTCGAGTATAAGTTTTGTTAAAAATTCAAAGACCTTCTTGAAATAATAAAATTATTATTATAATAAATGCGGTAGAGTAGTAGTTATGTAGTTTAGAATATTTAATAGAGGATATGAAACAAAAAAATTTTGGAATTCAGACCGATAATGATAGGAACTCTAACAGTGATAACAATGGAATAAGTGTACCTAGCTCTCTAGTTGGATTATTGTATGTTTAATCCCTTCTTTAGCTCTTGTAATGTAATAACTAATACTGGACTATTACCAATATCACAAAAAAAAAAGTGAAAGATCCTTAGGATAAGCACCTAGATCAAATCAAAAATGCAAATATTAAACCTCTAATACTACTCCAAGTGTTATTCTCAATATTGTTGATGTTAGATGCAATGAGAGGGCTTGATAAATTAGCACATCTCTTTATAAATAGTAAGATGATTTAAATATTTGTCAATTTTTCAGCTTCATCTTCATTTCGTCATTTTTTTTTCCCTCTTCTGCCCTGTCTTAGAAAGCCAGATAGACAGGTCGATATCAGATTTAAAAGAGGTCAGAGACCCAATAGCATAATAAAAACCCGAAGTCTCGTGACAGACAAGTGCCAAGACATGAGATGTATTTAATAACTTATTAGGCGGTTGGTATTGTTTTATACAAGGACATGATGATATCTTTAAGGTATGGTATCAAGATGGTTTATAAATTGGATATGTATCTCAGGAATGGTTTCCATCCTTTTTAATTTCGAGAATTTTCCGTTTTCATTTGAGATGGCAGAGCGGCTTGTTATCAATAATTTGGAATTGTAGAGTGTCAGTTGATAACAGTTATTGATTCTTCAAACATACTTGAAAAAAAATAAGAGTGTGGTAATAGTGCAATTTAATAGTCTCTTCTCAGTTTTTGCACATGGATTCAGAAACTGTTCTATTTTCCAAGACCATATATACATTCTTGAATTCTTGACGTGGTTCCGTTTAGTATCAAATTTGAATTGTAAAAGGGACTATACGGTTTTTTATATAATCAATAGAGTATGTTATTCTATAAATGTCTGGGTATCAATTGGAGGATCCGATGTTTGCTTTGTTTTTATTATCAGGTCCGACATTTTTTTTAACTTTTGTATACGTCATATAACCATTTTTAGAAGAATTTATAATAATTTATATCCTTAAGAACAAAATATTAAAAAATGGTATACTAAATGATATTACAATCAAAACAAATATTTATGCAAAGCATAATACATAATCAACTTTCTCAAAAAGAAAATAATATTAACGATATCTCAGTTCAAACTCTAATCTATAATAATTAAGTTAAATTGTGGTTATTAACTGACACAAAGAAACTTTAAAGAGTCTAAACCAATCTAGGTTTTAGCACAAACATTATAAAATTTAGATTCATTAATACCAACAAACTTTGGAAACACTAGGCTTTTTAAGTAAATATTTTATTAAAGTTCTTTATATTTTTTGACCTAAACTTCAAGTAAAACTTAGAAAACGAAACGACTCACGCATATAGCCAAAACTCACCAAGGAGGAAGCTTAAACAATGTGGAATAAACGGCTTAGAAACACTTTGTTTCTCATCTATCTTTTAAATTCATATTGTTCTGCTTATATACATCCTATCGAGATACAAGGTAAGAAATTTGTAGACTCTGTCACAAAGGAGCCTTTCTTTATTAAAGGTGTCGATTATCAACCAGGCGGTTCCTCAGAAGTAAATGCAAAAAGTGATCCTTTATCAGATCCCTCCATTTGTGCTAGAGATATTTATATGTTTCAGCAATTGGGTATTAATACTATTAGAATATACTCAATCAATCCAGATTTAAATCATGATGCCTGTATGACAATGTTGGCTGCTGCTGGAATTTATCTATTATTAGATGTAAATTCTCCATTACCAAATCAACACCTAAACAGATATGAGCCTTGGACAACGTACAATGAGGGATATATCAATCATGTATTAAAAGTTACCCATAAATTTTCTTTTTACAACAATACTCTGGGATTTTTTGCTGGTAATGAAATAGTTAATGATAAGAAATCTTCAAAGAATGCTCCTCCATATATCAAGTCTGTCATTAACGATATGAAGACTTACTCCAGAAAACACTTGCCAAGAAATATACCAATTGGATATTCTGCTGCAGATGATCTAAATTATAGGATATCTCTAGCAAAATATTTAGAATGTTCTGAGAGTTCTACTTCAAGTGATTATTCTGTTGATTTCTATGGTATCAATTCTTATCAATGGTGTGGTCAGCAAACAATCAAGACATCTGGATATGATAAATTAGTAGAGGCTTATCAAAATTACTCAAGACCAGTACTATTCTCTGAATTCGGCTGTAATTTAATTTTACCAAGACAATTCGAAGAAATAAAGGCATTATTCTCACCAGATATGTATTCAACTTTTAGTGGCGGGTTGGTTTATGAGTATTCACAAGAACCAAATAACTATGGTCTGGTGATGTTAAGTGCTGATGGAAGTGCAATGATGTTATCTGACTTTGATATGCTGAAAAAACAATATGCAAATACAATAACTCCAAATGCCAAAGAATTGGAAAATATATGGGCTCAAAAGCTTGGCAAACAGAGCGAAGTCAACAAACAACCCCTCTGTAAGGCAAAATATGATAATCTAAGCATCGAAACAAAGGTTGCCAAAGGATTAGCGACTAAATTAATTGCAAATGGAGTCAAAATAGATCAAGGAAGATATATACAATTGAATGAAAGCGATCTCCAAGTGCAATATGAAATATATGATCTATCTGGCAAACAAATTGATCCCTCTTTAACAAAAGTAAAGGTCACTCATAAAGTTGATACTAATTCTGAAGATGATGATTCCAGCAGTAAAGGTAACAAATTAGGTGCTGGAACTCCAAACCAATCGCAAGGAACAAGTTCAAACTCAAATACAAATTCAAATTCGAACTCGAATTCAAGACAGAAAAGTGCAGGTTCAATACATGGTTTCTCCTATTTTGCTCTCATAATAACTTTATTATTCCAAATTTACAATAGTTGATTAATTTATAATCATAAATAAATAATAACTCCCATTCATAAAATTTACAATTTATAATCCATCATTATTATTTCAGTTTTTGGTGTAATACTGTCACGAAAAGTTGAGGGAAACTATTAATTCTGTTTGGATTACAGAATTTTCCTGTTTTTTATTCAGAGTTAAAAAATGAAGTAAAGATTAATGGTTCTAAATCATTTGAATTATATAATTAATGAACTACTTGGTTATATCCAATTCAGTTAATTTTAAAATATAACTCTTGGGTGATAAAATATTCTTGAGATGAGCTTTGCCCTATTTAGGAAAAACCTCGAAATTTTAATTTTTTCCATTTAAGGATAAAGAAATAAGATTGCGATACAAGGCAACAAAGTTTAATATTGAAAAATCACGTAAAAACTATACAAACTTAAAATAATTCTAGGAATTAAAATCAGTTACCATTGATATACTTGCATAATCCTGAATAGATATCAATTTAAAGAACTTAGATACACTAGTGATAGTGGTTGAAGAAGTATTAAAGTTAGAGTGACAAATTTGCCAAGAACTTTGAAACTGTGAATAATCAGCAATCATCATCGAGTAAGGCTATTATTGAAAATGATGTCACCAGAGAAGGAACGTGAATTGACTTCTAAAATATTAGAAAGGGCACAATTAGCTCAAATGACCCGTCAATTAAAGTTAGGATTGAGTAAGGTTCCAACCAAGAAAAAATCTAATGACAAATCAAATAGTATTGTATTACCAGCCACTAGCGATGATGAAGATGAAGAGAAAGAAAGAGAGATGAAAAGTAGAAAAAGGACTAGTGATGCTGCTACAATTAAGGATGCTATTACTAGGATATCACCTCTCAAAAAACCGTTGCTCAAAGATTCCGGTGAACTAAACGTATCTCCTTTGAAAGATTACCATAGACCCAGTACGCCTCCAAGAGTACCACCATCATCATCTTCATCTGCAATTAATGAAAACTTCAACAATGAAAAGAATTCAAAACTAGAGCCACCATCAACACCAAAAGCTGCAGTTACGGCTCCGGTTCTGCTTACAGGAAACACTAATCGTCTGCTTGTAACACCTAAGGCAAACGTTGTTAATATAACAGGAAAGACACCTGGCGGTCAATCTAATAACAATAATGATAATGATGTTGCCGCCGATTTGTTAATGTATCTAGCCACAAGTCCTTATGTTTCAAGCAAGGGAAATTATGATAAAGTGTTATCGACGCCTTCCATGTCAATTAACATGTCAAGTTCTCATGGCCCTTATGACAGAGAAGCTGATGGTGCTATTCGATTCTCGCACATGAAGCCTTCTATTTCATCTCCACAGTCCACATTTAAGACAGCTCCATTAGATTATACTGCTGGCGGAACTGTTCCTTTTACTGATGTTTTGATGGATTCACCTACAATTTTTATGACAAAATCACCACCTCAAAGGAAGAAGAATAATGGTCAAAACAATAATTTAAATACAGACACAATACATAGCTCCAATGTTCCAAGTACTCCATCTAGAGAACTACGCTCCTCAGTAGGATCTGTTGCATTTTTAAAGACTCCAAATTTTAACATGTTTGATTATGTCCACACTCTTTTCAGTCCATCACCTAGGGTTAATATGTCTGCTGGGAATGCAGTCTCACCTGGACCACCAGAATCATCTGGAAGTAACCTATCCTTCTCAGGCAAAGATGATATTCACCACATCGAAGATGTTTCTGAAAGTTCAGAAAAGGACATACTAACTTCAGAAGAAACAGCTAAATGATACTTCAATTATCTATGGTAAACTAATAGTATAGAAAACTAATGATGTGGGTCAAAACCCCAATGCTTGAGACTCTGGAACAAATAGAATTAGAACAACAAAAACAAACAATGCCATTTGATCTATTAAATCGAAGCTGAAAAGGGTAGAAGTAAAATCAAACTAAATTAGCATTGTTTAAAAACCACTCAGATTTATTTTCATACAAACATAAAATTGGATGGTAGTCCTTCTTATACGGATAAAGGTTAAGGAATTCAAAAATTCCATAAGTATACTAGACTACCGGATTCTGTTTCTAAGAAAATTGGGTAACTCATAATACAAATGCTATTCGTCGGGTTACTGCCATTCTATGGCACATAGCTTCTTTGATAATAAAATATTATTCAGTCATATCATGACATTTGTGACATTGATGTAGCATAGCTGTTTCTATAAGTACAAGAAAAGCAAAATATTCATAGAAAATATAATTTATTCAAAGGACCTGAAAAGTTCATTCAAATCATTAAAACGCTCCAACCATTAAAAAATCAGAGACCAAAATCTAATCTATCAGTAATAATTAATAAAAATCCTGATTATATTATATATAGAAATACTTATACAACTATACATATGTGATAAAAAACTTTCTTTTATGGGTCAAAATGTAACACGGATGTTCTCTATGATGCTTGAAAATATGAGTTCGAATATGATGAGTATTATTTGTCTTTTTTATGGACCTTTTTCTTCTTGTCGTGATGATGCTTATGACGATGTTCTGATTTTCCCTTCTTAACTGAAACTTCTATCATGTTTTTGTCATTGTCATCTAAACCATTTTCATTTTCAAAAACAGATTTCCTCCATTCTCTTAAACGTTTAGATTTAGTCACCTTTCTTTTATCCTTCATTCTCAATTCTTTTGGTCTATATGGTGCAAACTTCTTCAAACCAATATATTGATTTAGATCCGTGTCATCAGCAGTAAAGATTTCTCTAGTTGTTAAACCAAAACTTTCTGGAGAAACCTCACGGTAACGAAATTTCAAATTTTGTTCTTCTCTAGTACGGGCTCTAGATTTTCTTTCTTCATCTTCCTTTTCGACTTCATCTATAATATTTAGTTTATTTTGTTCGACAGCATTTTCAACCATTTCTGTCAGCTTCTTTTTCTTCTGTTTTTCAGATTTCTTTTCAGATTTCTTTTCCTTTCTTGATATTTTTTTCTCTGGTTCTACATCTTCTAGATCAGAATCCTGCTCGTTATCTTCAATTTCTTCATCGATCTCTTCACCGTCTACAAATCCACTCATTATTTCATCATCGTCGTCCCATGTAGGCTTACCTTCTTGATTATAGAATTCTTCGTTAAATAACTCCGAGACGACATTATCCCATTCATCATCCTTGAAATCATTGTTCAATAGGGAATCTGTAATTTTCTGAACCATACTTCCATTTATCTCTGAACCGTATTCTTTTTTCAATTGATCTAATACGTCAGTAATTTTATTTACCTTTTCTGTTTTCTTCTTTTGTATAGCCTTTTCCTTTTTCTCCTTTACTATTGTCTTTTGTTCCTTTTCTTCAGTTCTCTTTCTTCTACGAGATGAGGATTCTGCCCTTCTCAAAGTTGCTTGATTACGAGCATATGATACAATTTCTGCTGAGTTTGGATCTTCATAACGGAAATTGTATGCATGTTCAAACTTTTCAGCGGCATCTTCGAAATCTTCGTCATCTTCTTCGATTTTCATTTCACCATCTCCAGCCATCATTTTATCACCTTTCTTGGGGATCCAAGAATTTTGGCTTACAAAAGCATCCAAGAATTTCTCTTCGTCAATTTCAGGATTTGGCAATAGCACTCTTTTATCTTTAGTGGACTCAGAAGGTTCCTTTTTTTGCAAGAAATCATCTTCTTCATCACTTACTTCTTCATCAAAGGCATTTTTAATTTCACTTAAAAGTTGTTGCTTTTCTTCCTTTTGTTGTTCAACGTAAGATTGTTTACCATCTACTGTGTTGAACTCTTTATCTTCATCCTCATCATCTTGGAATGTTTCTCCCGCCAATAAGTTCATTCTATGGTAATCTTTCAAGTAAATTGGCTTACTTTTTTTAGAAGAACCGACTTAGAGAGAAAAGCATTATCAGGATCATCATTAAAGAACTTGACCTCAGGATTTAATAATAAACCTGTGTCATTATTTCTAATAGCCTGAAGAACATTCTGTATACCTTCTTCAACATCTTCTGTGATCAACTCACCAAAATCATCCTCCTCTTCACTAGAAGAAGATTCACTTCCAGAATCTGAAAGATTACCAACTTGATCGTTAACTACTTGTTTAATTTTGACGTCTTCATCTTTTGGAACTATGGCTTGATCATTCTTCGAAGCGGCTTCTCTAGCCTTTTTGGCAGCAGACTTCTTTCTTGGCATAGTTATATCTTATTTCTAAAACAGGTATTATGATACTCACTGATATTAGATATACTGTTCTCCCTCGACTACAATATATACTTCATATTCACTAAGATTCAATCTTTAAATCTTGCGATGAGCTCTGCTTTTAAGTTTTATTTCAATGTGAATTCAAAAATTTCAATAGTGAAAAATTTCTTATAGTAAGGTGTACGGATGTCTTGATAATTATTTAAGTTGACCGAGCCCTTGGAGAAATTTTAAGAGATTGCTATTAAATACTTGATTATCTCCATTGATTATATTGGATTATTATTTGAAAATGAATGGTGAAGTATATAATTCTGTAGGTAGAATCAATATTTTCATTATTTGTATTCTTGAATCTTTTTAAGAGGTGCAAAGATTAATCAAAATAGATAAATTACTGTCTGGAATTTAGAGATAGGTAACTATCCCCTATTAATTATAGATTATAAAAAACATAATTTTTGTTATCTCTGTCCTTCATTACTTCAAGTGTTGATCACATAGGTTATAAATAGTAAAAGGAAATATGGATACTGAGGCTAACCCAAGGTTATTCCGTTTACCATTTAAGTTACCCAATTCTGCAACTGCAAGAAGATGGGGGGTTTACTTTGCTGGTGTATTATATGCACTAGGTTTTTGGTTATTTTTAGATGCTGTAATATATTCAAAACATGCCAATGCATCTGATGTTCACGTAACGTTTATTGATTGGATCCCATTTTTATGTAGTACATTTGGTACTATTATTGTAAGTTCAATTGAAAAAAGCAGATTGTTACAAGGTATATTATCATCTGAAGGAGGGGGTCTTGGATATCTTGGGGGAGATATGGATTCAAGCATGGCATGGCAAGCACGTTCTGTGTTGTTCTTAGGGTTTGCATTACTAGCTGGTGGGTTATCAGGCTCAATTGTCGTTTTAATCATCAAATTTTTAGTAAAAGATTACACATCATACCCAACTGTTGGAATGGGTGTCAATAATGTTTTAGGGAACGTATGCATCTTATTTAGCTGTGTCGTACTATGGATAGCACAAAACATGGAGGATGAATATTCATATTCATTAACACTTTAGATTAATAAATAAATAAGAAAACGATAATAAGATATTATAACTGATATTGTGCTCCAGAGACAGCAGCACCACAATAACGATACAGGAATGGTGACATCTGGAAGTATGTCCTAACCTTGGTGAATTAATGAACTGTCCAGCCAAAAAAGCATAAATATACTCTATGACTATCATATCTCAGTTGGAATCCATAAATATTAATAATAATATAATCCAATATATCCTTTGTGCAACGTAATTTACTAACCGCTTACTATTATTGTTAGATATATATATATTTAAATATATTTATATTATTATACTAAAAGATATCACTTATCAACATCACGTGATGGAAACATTCATTTAAAGTGACTGTATAACTGTATGTAATGTACAGATGTCTAACCGGTCATTAGTTTATACCTAAATGTACGGGTCTTTTGAGTTTTTCTTCCTTAGAGTGCCTGACGCGCAATATGAAAAATCGGTCAAGATTATAATTAATTTTTGGTTAAGACGAACCGCAAGGTAACAAACAAAAATATTCGCCAAAATTGTTCTTGTAGGGTGGTGCATTTTTCTCTTGTGGACCGAAAGTATGTATTCTCTCCTGGAAGAGAATACTAACTATTGCACTCATTCTAGATTATCTCCCTTCTAGCATGGAGGGGGGGGAGGTACCAGTTTCTCTCTAAGTTAGTGAGACTTCTCTCTAATTTTGTTTTCTGCTCACAGTGTGGAACACATGTTACTTTTCATGTCATTTAGATTAGACTCAACTTTTGTATCATGAAACTTTTCACTTTTTTTCACTCGGTTTCCCACGCAGTATTGATTGTATCATCTATAGGGCTACTTCACCATTTGGCTTGTATCTTCACCAATCTCATTGGGTTTGCTAGTAACAACACCTTTGATAGTTGTTTGGTTGTGAGTACTTGTTGCACTATTCTCTATTCCATCCTACTCTATTCCAAATGGTAGACAGTGGATATCTCTTTTGCATCTTCACCATTCTGTTGTTGCAAAAGCTGTTCTTGCCATCCTCATCCTCATCTTCTTCTACTTCCTGTACCAGCCAAGCTCTTCTTTTTGTTCAATTAATATCCAGGTATTCATTCAATCCATTACAGTAATACAGAACTACTGGACTGAGTGCCATTATCATCCTTGTCAAACTTCGAATTCTCTCATCTCAATTTATAGTATTTTGCTTAAAAGTAACAAGATAAAGATACTATATATTAACAACTTGAATCTGTCTTGTTGTTCAATAATATCGTTAAACTCAGCAAGAACAAGTTAAAAAATGGCTCCATCTGGTATGTAATTATACATCGTTGCAATATAAAAAAATATCGAGATAATATTATGATTTAAAAGTTGGGATAAAATATGCAATACAAATTTGGATATTTGGATATTAGCGAATTAAATAAAACCTGAAGCACTATATGGGTAGTAGTTTCATATTCCTGGAACTATGTGGTTAATTATCGAGTAACAAGAATACTATTAGATAGTGAAAAAATAGCTAGCCGAAAACTTTTCTGTTTACAACAAAGCAAGCACATATATATTATTTCAAAAGATAATAAAAAGTATATGTAATATTGATACCTTAGACAAGAAATTCGGATATTTATGAACACTGTGTGTATATAATGATTCTATTCCAAAATATGTGATATTTCAAATTGAATCGAGATTATCTCAATACTGTGGAAAGTTGAATATTTTTACTAACAAATTACTTTTTCATTTTTAAATAGCTAAGGCTTCTGCTGCTAAGAAAGCTGTTGTCAAGGGTACCAACGGTAAGAAGGCTTTGAAGGTCAGAACTTCTGCTACCTTCAGATTGCCAAAAACCTTGAAGTTGGCTAGATCTCCAAAATACGCTTCCAAGTCTGTTCCACACTACGAAAGATTGGACTCTTACAAGGTCATTGAAAAGCCAATTAACTCTGAAACCGCTATGAAGTTGGTTGAAGATGGTAACACTTTGGTCTTCCAAGTTTCCTTGAAAGCTAACAAATACCAAATCAAGAGAGCCGTTAAGGAATTATACGAAGTTGATGTCCAATCCGTCAACACCTTAATCAGACCAAACGGTACCAAGAAGGCTTTCGTCAGATTGACTTCTGACTTCGATGCTTTGGACATTGCTAACAGAATCGGTTACATCTAATCTAATTGTAGTGTATATAATTTGAAATTGACTATATTACTCTTTCATCCAAGATTTTATAAGCTATTTCGTTTTAGTTAATTTTTTTAGCATCCTCCAATAAAACCAATAAGATAATAATTTACTTAGTTCGAATTCTTTGAACAAATTAGCTTACTTGTTGTGCACCGGCACTATACAGTATATCAGGCTTCATTGAGCGAGGTCATATATATGTAGTTGGTGTATGTCATGATGGCAATTTCATCTTCAAAGAGTAATTATCTAATTCTTAGTTAACAATAGGTAAAGTTTTATAGGAAGCTCAAGGTGTATCTATTAATTTCTTTAAATTCAAGTTATTATACAGATAACCAAGTAATTAAATACAAAACACATAAAAATACGAATATATGAAATTAAATAATACAATGATAGATAACAAAATATTTAGTTAAATAATAAATTATTTTTTGAAAGTTATATAATACTAAATAAATTTGTTTTGTTGCGTCTTTTGTACAGTATGATTGTATTGCCTCTCGTGCAATTACATGATAATGATAATAATAATGACACTAATTAATCTTGGATAAAATCCCAGCCAGTTTTAATGTTTTCTCTTAGTTTTGGAATACATGCAGATAATAATTCATCCTTTTCATAATCATTCATTTCATCCATGATCCAATATTTTATTGAATGGACACCCTTTGCTGAAATGGTCAATGGGATAGAAAAGAAATCTAATCCATCGACTGTATCCATCAACTCCTTTGCACCAGGACAAATTGGTTCATTTTTAGTGTGATCCAATAATGAAATGTAAAAAATGGCTTTAATAATGTCTTCTTGTCCTGATAATAGAGATATAAATTTTGCAACAACTTTATAACCAGCTAAAGCCATTGACAAAGTTGCACTTCCTTGACCATTTTTGGCTTTTACAACTTCATCACCACCACATTGGACTCTCTTAGTCAGATAATCTACTTGTTCATTTGTTAACTGAGGATGAATTTTTGATTGAGAGAATAATGGGATAATAGTTTCACCAGAATGGCCGCCAATGACAGGCACGGAAGGCATAATGCTTGATCTTTTTTCAAAACCTTCATTGATACCAAATTGATGTAAGAAAGTAGAGGCTCTGACGATATCCAATTTAGTGACACCCATAACTCTCCTTTCAACATCAGCTGTTGGATCAAATTTTATAAACTTTTTAGTAATAACGGGAACCAAAGAATTAACAGGATTTGAAATAACTAAGATAAAAATTTTAGATAAATCACAATGCTCAATAATGGAATCAGTTAAAGATGAAATAATACTTGCATTTTTATTGAATAAATCTTCTCTTGTCATACCTGGTTTTCTTGGTAAACCTGCACTAATAATTATTAAATCTGTATCCTTTAAACAATCTTTAATACCATTTTCGGTGTTTGGTGAATGGCTAGATAAAGAAACTGGGGTATCGATATGAGATAAATCAGTAGCGACACCATTAACAGCGTCTGAGTTAATATCATATAGAGCCAAATGAATATGATTTTTTTTAACTTTATTTGAGCCAATTGGTATTAAATTATGTATTTGGGTTTTCAACAATAATGTTAATGACTGTCCAATACCACCAGCAGCACCAATAATAGAGATCTTAATAGTAGAATCAGTAATAGCAGTGTACATTTTGTAATTTAGTGTTTATAGATATTTTAATATTGATCAAAATGTAAGTTAAGAGATCTCTTGTTTATTGAAGATATTTCTCTAATATTTATAAATGTAGCAAAGTGGTGGTTTAATATTGGCAATTATTAACACTTTTACTGTTGGGTTCTTATAAACCAAGAATAAGATAATGAATATTAATAATTAAAGATTAAAAATGATATGCTAAAAGAAATGGTGTATTAAAAAAAATGGTATACTGAAAATGGTATACTGAAAATGGTATACTGAAAAATGGTATGTTAAAAAATGGTATACTTTAAAATGGTTTGATAAAACAACCCAATCAGAACAAACCAAAAATTTCCAAGAAAATGTCACCGAATATTTTATCTGCAATCATCGTCCCTTTATATATCTTTTTTTTTCGATTAATTTTTCATTCCAGATTTAATTTGCCGATGACTTTAAATGACATGTTGATATTCATATAGAGAGACAGTATTAAAGACCTAATCTATCTATCAACCTCCATCTGACTCAACAAATATCGTAATGTAATGATTGTATGAAATATTTTGCAGTGAAACACCAATACGAATTTCAAACATTGTACCACAAATTGACTTCGATCATGAACATTCGGAGGCACCATTAATTTCACTTCAAATTAAAATGAACGAGAATTGACCATTCTAGTAATTGCGTTTTACTAATTGCATTTGATATGATACTAAATATATAATATGCTAATGAAAAGCTGTACAATAGTCATCTGCGGCAGTAGTAATTTCCATACTGCTAAAAAGCAATTTCTGCTTTTCTCGCAGATTTGAATGTAATCGTCGTTTAAACGGAACATCTCTGAAACTTAGCGTTTCTTTTTCTTGCGAGAGAGTTTATCCGAGCAGTCTCTCAACAGGTTTTTTGCCGTGAGTTCATCACATAGAGAAATATAGAAGAGAAAAGGAAAAGTTCACCGCCAGATAATCAGAACTACGTACCCGTAAGGTTATTGGAAGTGGTAATGCTTGATTAAGTAGATACTATGCTGTTCAATAAATTACTAATATCCCATGCCAAACTATGCTGATGAACGACTTATTGCCCCTACTGACTGCAATGGTGTCTCGTTTCAAAGTACATTGAACTAGCCATGTTGAAGCTATCAAATTCAAGCAGTTGTTATGATATAATTGCTCTTTCCTATTTTGCCATTTTTTATCGTTTCATTCAACGAGACCTACCTCTGGTTTAAGAATTAGATTTTCTATTGTAGTGAAGAACACCACCAAACAGAAATTTAGGGAGGAAATGTTGTAGAGGTTCGACGAAGGTCTATTCCAAAAATTGTGGGAATTTTTGTGCAAGAATGGGAAGCTTTACCGTTTGGAAACCACCCGATCCTCACGTGATCATTTACTTAAGGTTTTGATTTTGCCGTACTTTCCTGAACTGACTAGAACTAATGGCAAGTTAAGAATCCCCGTTACATCATTACCACAGTTATATTGCAATAATTGGGAACTACTTATCTAGTAGTGCAGTCAATGCCATTTATTAAAGAATAATGCTAATATACAAACCGAATATATTCTTTACTTTTTATAAAAAATATACATTTAATTTATAAAAAAATTAATAATGTTGAATGGAATCCAGAGAGTAAACGAGGTAAAGGTCTTAAAATTTTAGAAATAATTTCCTTTAGATTAGACCTTGAAACCCTTAGATCTTCTCTTACCTCTAGCTCTTTCGAATTTTCTACCCTTAGACATGATTCTTGGAGCCTTACCCTTGTGTGGACCCATACCGAAGTGTCTGACGGCTTCTCTGGAGTTTCTTGGACCTCTCAAGATCAAAGTGTTTTGACCCTTTGGAGCTCTGACAGCCAATTGATCCAAAGTGATACATTCACCACCAGCCTTGACAATTCTAGCTCTGGCACCGGCAGTGAACTTCAAAGCGGCGACAGTGGTCTTTGGCAAGTCAAAAACTCTAGCATCGTCAGTGACGGTACCGACAACGACAACAGTCTTGTTGGCAGCACCTTCTTGTTTCAAACCTCTAGCAATTCTAGAGACAGAAACTGGTGGTCTGTTGATCTTAGACAAGAACAAAGATCTCAAGACAACCTTGTTGAATGGAGCATCAGTACGACCTAATTAAAATGAAAAAAAATAGTTAGTAAATGATAATCTGATGTATTAAGGAAATTTGAAAACTAATTCTAATATCCATCTATCAATACATGAAAGTTTTAAAAAAGAACATTTTCAAAACATCATGCTAAGAAATGAATTAGAAAATGATTCTGCTCAGTAATCCGCACAACTTTGATAAACAGTGTCGATAGTACTAGTCCAATAGAGGATAAGCACATTAAAGACAGTAATCTATTGCACTTGCAGAATTGTTCACACTTGATTAAGCTGCAACACCTAATCAAAATGTGATAATAAGAATAAGAATCCCACAATCAGTAGTTCCTTATTCTTCAGGCACACCGATGTGCACCAGCTCGAAATTAAAAATTAACTATAAAATTTAAAATCACTGTGTACATTTGCAAACTGTAGACATTCATCTGATATTTTTACCATTGAAAAACTCAAAAAATAGACTACAGGATAACAGACGCACTAAACAGAACCCTTCTATTCATCATTATCATCAAATAAATTTGGTACATACGAGCTAAGAAGGAGTACAACTTAACCAACAATTTCAAGTAGACATTGTCGGATTTTGGAGCGGTTCTGTGACCGGATCTCTTGTGTTGCTTGGTGTAGTGATCAATACCCATTTTGCGCTTGAGAATGTAATAATCTTTTATGAATAAACAACAAATAAACAAAATAAAAATAAACAGTACAATTACACTGAAAAAACTAGAATAATTTACATAAACTACTTTTAACATGAACTATTCTCTTTATATAGTTTTCCAATTTTCCAAAATGTGAAAAAAAAATTTTCTGCGTTGCCTCGATTCGAAGTGAAAAAAAACGGAAAAAGAAATGTGAAAAATTTTTTCAGTTTAGTTTGCGATGAGATGACCTGTTTGAAGTGACTGTTTTTATGCTATAGTTAGTAGTTGGTTTAAAGAACTGGAAGGTGGAGCTGGGGCCATTGATGTGAGGCTGGCTGATTTGATTCTTGATTCGATTGAGTGTGTGGTAGGGTAATATAACATTTTCCGAGACATAGTTAAACTTAAAATAAATAGAAATGGCTATCAGGGTATAGAATACACAAATATTTACATATATGGATATATTCTCATAATGAATTGATCACGTTTTCTGCTGAAGACACTTTTAAACCTATCTTATCAGGTTCTAAAAACTCCTTAACTACTATACCATCTTCAACTATTAGCACGTATCTCATAGAACGTTCATTTCCTAATACGTTTTTAGCATCGAATAAGTAGCCACCTTTTTTGGCAAAATTACCTTGTGTATCAGCAATTATTCTTATCTCTTTTGGACAATTCAATGATTCACTCCATGCTTTGGTGACAAAGGAATCATTGACTGTAGTGACTAAGATTTTAGAAAATCCCTTGTTTTCAAATTCCTTTAAATGTTTAATAAACCCTGGCACATGTGATGATGAGCATGCTGGTGAAAATGCAGCTGGTAATCCAATTATAATATTTTTACCATTGCTAACTTCTTCACCGATGTCAATTGTATTCCCTGGTGAATTCTCTTGAATACCGGCGACTCCTTTTGGAATTCTATCACCTATCTTAAATCCTCTAATAAACCTTAATGGTTGCAACTTAGTGGCTCTTGGTCCTCTCAAAAACATTTTATTAATGTATTGTATTATATCTTTAATATCAACTTAACTTATGGAAGTTTTGCAGTACTATATTTATGCTGTATCTTTGAGAATCAATTAAAGCCAACTTAATTTCTATTTATAATTCTGTCCTTAAATTTCAATGAACTAAATCAACCCCGAAGCTTTCATAAATGAATTTACTATGCATTAAATGAATAGTTAAAGGGACAATAGAACATCAACGAATGAAATACTTTCCAATTCATGATTAGCATAAGATTAACCATTATTTCGAATACTAGGTGATTTCATCCAGTATTACATTTATGAATACCTAAGAAGTTGTCAATTATTAAAAATGTCAAGTTATTATGATGAATATAATGAGGAGAATAACTACGATGACTTCATGATGTCTGATGAGGAGGATTACGAGATGGAGGCTATTGAAATGGAGGACGAAACTGATCAAGACTCAGTTATATCCCAATTAAAAGGAAATGATGACTATTCAAGTTTAACGCCTTTACAAGAACTAGAAAATGTATTCAATAATGCCACTTCCCTTAAACACGATAATTGTTTTAATGATGCTATTGAAAGGTTATTAGAATTGGAAAAGATTCTAAATAATGCCAATAACCTAAGTGAAGATATTTTTGAATGGAAATACAAAGTGCGGAGTGAATTAATAGAATGCTCATTTTCAAATCTAATTGAAAATGGTTATGATTTAAAGGATACCAATGATGTTAAACAATACTGGATATCCTTAATTTGTTTCATTAAAGATAATATTACTCAATTCAAGGTAACAAATAAAAATGACTTTCTTTGTGATCTATTAATATTAATAACTCCTAAAATTGCAAGAAGTTTTTTATTTGAATCAACCGACCACGATTTCAAATTATCATTTGCAAGGGCTGAGCTCAATAATTCAATTTTATCAATTCTTCAATATGAAATAGAATCCAATTCAAATATGTGGTCTAAAACTATACAACACCTTGTCAAGATAAGAACCTTTTCTTGCAAAATTTGGTTGGAAAAGATAAAAACAGGGCACATATTATCATATAATATACCAGACCCAGATTGGTATTTTAAAGAAGTAAACTACAGTGATAAATATATGTTGGAGGATTTAGATTTGTTCTTACAGTATTTAATTAATGAATACATAAACAACGGAATACTAGAGCCGCCAAATAAGGAATTATTGAATAGGTTTTTGATCTTGCTAGGAATCATAAAGTCTAGATCTTTGTCAGTATCACAAAGGTCTGACTTAATGTTATTATATAACTTTGGTGTGATTTTATCAAATATCTCAAAATTAGTGGAATTTGAATATTGTGAAGATGATATTGTTTTAACAAAGAATGAAGTTCTGCAGAGAATACAGAATAATTCATGGGAATGTTTACAAAAATTAGAGGAAATCGGAAGTAACTATGGAAATTTTAATTCATCGTCATTCCCGTGGTTTAGTTGTTTCAGGGTATGTATTCCGCAATATGTTATCCCATAAATTTAAAGTCCCATGGAATTAATCCCTTCCCCCTTGAAACAATTAAATATCCCAAACTAAATGCCCCTTTATTTCCCCATTTAAAGGAGGTATTTTTTAATTATATTGGAATTAAATTTTGAAAAATTATTTTGAAAATATTGAGGAATTTAAAATCTATAAAAAATCCCCTGGCATCCTTTTAATCCCGAAAATTTTCACAACGGCTCAAATTTATTTAATTTTGGAAAAAAAATTCGCCCCCCTGAATCCCGCCCCTTTCAA